TTATCAATGTAATTTCATTTGTTAATTAAAACTATGCATACACTTTTGTCCAGCTTACTTATTATAATCAAGATTTTAAAGTAAATGCTGAAGTCCAAAATATAAAATAAATATATTAATATAAAAAGAAAATAATTAATTCCTTCACTATATTGATTTAAATGCTAACAATTATTTAACAATTTAATACAAGCGCACACATACACACATTTGAAATGACTAGAATTACGCACAACATTCAAAAAATTTATTGAAATGAGGATAATTTACTATTGGTATTTGTTCTTGTAATTAATGGATTTCATAGAAAGTAGATAGTGGCAACACAGCAAAAACACAAGTTGTATAAGTAACAGGTAGGCCTTATATGTTACAATGATAATATTAGAAAAAAAATTCACAATTACGTATGTAATAACAAATAAGAAATGAAACAAGTTAGAGGCGATAGCCAAAAATCACCGACCAGACATAATATTAATCACAATTATATGCAAGGTAGAGATGAGATTCAATTTTTTTTTTAAGTAAATTGAGGCGCTATGTAAACACGTACATATCTACCAATTATAGAAAAAGAAAAAATTCTGGCGCCTCAATGAGATGGTAATCTTTGAAGTTTTTCCCTGAAAGACAACATTTATCACCATGAAAATTGATCAAATTAAAATAAATCTCAATAGGACTAAACGACATGCAACAATTATTTTATACAATGAATCATGATTAATAAATATTGACAAAACATGATTCACTATTTATCAAACAATTAAGTAGTTTGCGTTAAAGCATCAAAATCACTAGAAATGGGTGATAAGATAGGTTTTGTGATCAATGTATGCATGTAAATAAATTTCAAGCCAAAAAATAAACGCGCTTTAAAGTACGCATGAGTAGGATACACTTTACCATATAAAGATGAATGAAATCTAATAGCAATATGATTGGTACAGAGAATTTAAAATTAGAAACAATTAACAAGATAATTGTTTCGTCTTTGGTTAAGAATAGACAAATTAAATAAAACAACTAGGTGTCATGTGATCAAGAATCCAATCGGCTGCAGGTTCCAATTGCCAATTGAATGCACTAATAATTTGACAACATGAATCCCAATTTATCAGACCTAATTGATAAAGACGATAAACAGATAAAAGGCGAACAGCCAATTGCACACGCCAAGCACTAGTTCTGTCTAGTTTAGTTCGCCAAGTTTCTATAGGTGGAGTGCATGGAATCGGAGGTACAGTTAGTTGGGATATGACTGGAGAAAATGGATTCATCACATGTAATAACGCCCATTGTGCTTCATATAAAGTGCATCCAGGAACTTGAGAACAAACAAGCGAAATCTAAAATGGAGAGAATAACACCAGATTTCTATAAATTCGTAATCGTTAACAAGAATGCTATATATATATATATATATATATATATATATATATATATATATATATATTTGTTGAGCCTAACTTGATAAGTATTCTAGATATATTATTAGTCCATACTTTAATTTTCGAAGGAATAAAAAAGTCAGAACTTCATGAAACAACTCACGATTCTCGAAGACGAAAAAACCTAGTTTAACAGGTATCCACGCAGTCAAAAAACATAAAGCAGAATACAAATGTAGCATCATATCAGAGTCGATTTATTATCCTGATGGATTTCAATGTTGTCAGGATTTAAGGTTAATAGATGTTAAGTTGGATAAAATGTAGTAAATAACATATAAACAGATTAGACATTCTTATACAGATTCATCTTACTAACATATTAAAAGCTATCAACGCTTATACCTAAGAGAAAAAAAAAGAGAACATACTATCATTCTTTTGTAAATGGAAAAAATTAGCAACGAGGATAAACATAGTTGACTAATTTAATTACTTTTTAGACTTTACTATAGACGATACATTGAAGGTGTTGAGAATTAGAGTACGAAAATAATAAAGGTTTGTTACCTAAAACAATATTTTTCAACACAAAATTAACAGACAAATTATTCATGTAGAAATGTGAATTGTGTAGTTTCGATTTAAAAGTTTAATAAAGATTAGCACAGAAGTTCAAGTAAAAGAAAATGCTGAACAAATATGATTCTTATCACAGAAAACATACATACACACAAACACTGTTCCATTCAAAACTAACGGAGTGGTTCAATAAACAATACAGCTAACTGATAATAAATACATAACTAGTAAGAGTAAAAAGTTTTGAAATGGACAAATTAAGCACAAATGAATTTCTGAGAAAATTAATACAATTTAAAAAAATTATTTTGGATTTACCTCATCATTATAATTATCTGAAGAATTGAAAGGATTATGTTGTTTTTCATCCACTTGATGGTGAGAAAGTGAGCCTTGAAAAATCGTACAAGAAACACATGACGAAGTTATATTCGAATAGGATGTAATCAAAACTACCCAATAATTTCTCATAGAAAATGAATAATAATGATTATTGATAAAAAAAATAAATTGTCATTTCAAAACCATTATTGATTCAAAAGACTATAAAATGAAGTATATCAAGGGCAGTAATTACTGACAAACAATTAATATTTTTCAAGTAACTGAACCAATTCACATTACATACATACATTACAGAATGTTTTTACTTCTTACTGAAGGATGGTTCTTTTCAATTGCAATTTGTTAGGTCAGGGATAATTCTGTAAACGTAGTCCACAGATCTGATATAGTATAAGACAATAAATCTTCGAAAATCCTATCGTTATCTTTTTTTAGGTTTCACAAAAGCAGAAACAAAGAAAAAATAAAATCTACTTTCACTGTACTTTTGCATGAACCCTATCCCTTGATAATTTTATTACGGCCGTGTGATTTTCAATTTTAATTGTTGGCAAAATTGCTATTATGCTTCACACAATGCATTTCTTAATGCTGAGTTTTGTAATGTACAAGAAATAAACTGGTAGTACGCATGAATCATAAGAATCAAAGTACAGCAGATTCAGTACACATATATGTATTGTAAGGTTATGTTTAAAAGAAGAAAGTGAGTTGGATTTAAGAGATATTTTGAGAACAAAATTATCATCGGTGGCGACAAAAAAACCTTTATTTTTATATCTGTAGTGCAACAGTGGTTTAACCAGTGAAATAATTAATGATTAAAAAGTGCAAGAAAAACCTTAAAATGAACAATCAATACAGGATGGTTGTTTTTCGTTGCCCAGGCAACCAAAAGTAATTTCACCAAATAAAAATAAACTATATTGTCCAACTGTCTATATGTGTGTTTACAAGCTTATACGCTGCGGTGGGGCTAGTTCTATTGGGCTTATAAGCAAAGCAAATACATTATGGTATTTGTGAACATCATCTCTCATGATCGACAAGGAGACCGAAGAAAATAACAGTGCATTTGGTTGATACTAGTTACCATGTAAATAGAAATCCAGCCTATAAAGTTATGTACAGAATTCCATCAAACTTGTGTTACACTACGTGAATTGATCTATCACATAAAACAGAAGCCATAGAAATATGTATAAACTTAATAGTTGAGCACGAAAAACGTTTGTAAAACCTCTTATTTCTACCCAGATTCACATTGATTAACATTAAGCTTCTCAAAGTTTTGTCAATTTTTTTTAATGTTGACTTCTGATTTTGTTTCTACGAAATCTAGTTGTTTTTCTTTGTATTGTTAGCACAAATAAGATTGGAACTTTGCATACAGTTGTTAAATTTGTCAAGTTGATTCAGTTCATGTTACTGGTTGCAATAATTAAGTGAGTAATTAAGATGGTGGAGAAAATTTGTAACTCAGGTGGATGATTATGGTGGTGTTTCGTTCACCTGATGAGCTAAGTGAGTAATTTCTTACTTTGAGCATGAATATGATGTTTCGTCAAGTGACTAACCTATTTATTATTTTCATAGAAAAGATTGAGATTTATTTTTCGACTGATCCATCGTCATTGATTAGGTATGATTACTTTTGCTTACATGTAAATCTATGTATAATATTAATGAGAAGCAATGATGCGCAACGGATTGAAAAATAATATCTTTTTGCTTAACTTGTATCGCTAGAAAAAACTGTACAAGTCGATACATGGGTTTTCGCGAAAAATGATCTCTCTCCTTCTGATATATACTGTTTGTAATTAGTGTAAATTTCACTACTTCATCTAAAGTCATTAAACTCTTTATTTATGATTTATGACAAATATCTAGTTAATTCAAACTTACAGCATAGAACTAAGTAAAATTAATATAAATTCTAAAAGGTAGTCTATGAAAAATATAATCTATATACATATCAAAAATGTATACTAAAAAGTATATAAACAGATCAATATAAACACATAGTTTCCCTATGATTATATGTATACTTTAAAATGATTAATTCAAAATAAATTTTACCCAAAGTAATGTCATTCTCATGAACAGATATCTACAAAGAAATAAAACAAGAAAAATAAATTGAACTGTATTATTATTTCACACTGAAAGCGAGTACAATGTTGAATTAACTTGATACATAAGATATTTATTAAATAATTGATAGAGAAAAGAAACCATGTATGAATCCTAAGTAACTATTTTTCGTATAATAACTCACAAATGCACTTACATAATGTTCAAAGGAAGGATGAATCTAGTAGTAGTTATAAGGAATTCGAAAAAAAGCATAATACTGTCTAATACTTCATTTTTCGATCATAATTCACATTTATCGCCACTTTTGCTCGTCTATACCGCAGTCTACTAATACATATTCTGATTTATAGCTAAATGAACAAAACTTTTGCCACGAAAACACTGTACATTGCATTATTGTAGACAGAATTAGATAACGGCAAAAAAAGTCACTGAACTGTAAACAACTGACCAGAAGTGAAACTGTGAAGACTAGATATTATTAATTACCTCCAATATATAAAGATGGTGGTGTGGTGCGCGCTACTTATAAGTAGTATATGACGCGAGTGAAAACGTAATGTCTGGCAGCAGAAGATGGGGGAAGATCAAGAAAGGAAGAGTGGGAACACAATGGAATATGTATGAAACGCATGAATAGTGAAATGTCAGATAATGGATTGAAGATTTGCAAACTAACCGTCTACGATATGGTTTTCCTTTTCACTGAGTAACTCTGTAATTTGCGATAAATACAATTCGGTTGCCCTCATCTGTATTCTCCTTCACTACAATAGTAGTGAGCATAAATTTGATGCATTTTTCGAAATCTTTAATTATATTTAGGTATTTCAGTAACCTGATTAGTAACGATTAAATACTTATTTTTTAACTATTGATACCTTTTGTTACATTTATCGAAGCGTTCAACAACACGATTGAGATATGTGTAAAATCGAAGTTCAACAAAAACAACGACTTATCCAAAGAATGGTTGTTTTATTAACAAATACACATAAGTTGGGTACAAACCTCAACTTGTGAGGTGTCTAAGATGATTAACGCGTCTGAATGTCTGTAAAGAAAAGGAATTCCTATAATAATGAAATAAAGGGTAATTACAACGTACAATATGGTAAATGACATCTGAGAGCTGCGTTTAACGTTATCAACAACCAAAAACGAACTAACAGCAAACAAATACGGATCTTGTTACATTTAAACAAAAATTCAGAGAACGTATATAAAACCGGGATTGATGTTGGAAAAAGGTGATTATAGTGATAAATACAATAAACGCTATTAGTTTATGCAAATACTTTTGCCTATCGCATAACAATATAACTGCCGTTACATTGCACGGAAATTATCAAGGATAAGATTGCTTACTCAATAGAAATAAGTAGCATCAAACAATACACAAGAAACAAAAGAAGGGAAAATAAGTACGAGTGTAAAAGAACCTAACAACTTAAATATACACATAGATAATCAATAACACAAGCGTTTATTGATTGTGATAGCATTTTGATTAGTGAACGATTAAGCGGAACACCAAGCCGATTCTTGTAAACAGTTATGTTTCAAGCAACGTATCGTAATGTTTGTTACATCTATCAATAATTCAATAAGTCAATACAGTGGTAACAGTATATATGTATTTCGGATTGAAGAGTATAAAAAATTAAAGTGAAATTGAGAAAATGATTTAACCGATAAGGATTTTTGGAAACTTCCATAGAAAACATAGACGGCCAGTGATAAAACTGTTTTTTCATCATGATCGAATATTTACTGAATGTTATCAATTTTAGCGGATTCACCTGAAGGTTCTAAAGTACCAAAATCGCCTGAAGTTATAAGAGCTGCCATTTTTTCCGTAAAAAATCAGACGATATGTAGTAAAGCTTGTTTTATATTTCCAGCCTATTATTTGTTCGGTTTAAATGTAGGAGACTTCTGGAGACTGGAACCCATCTACAAAGTCAGTTTTTAAGCGTTTAACCAGAAAATATAAAGAAACAGCATAAGAACACACATATACACAAACAGCAAATCCATACAAAATAACAGACTTATCAGTCGAATCAATGTTATCAATACCATAAGTTTTTTAGATGTTAGTAGGAATCGAAAATTAAATCATACTTAGGTAACAAAATAGTAATCTAGACCAAAAAAAAATAAAAAGACAGGATAAAAGGTGCAATGCATTTTTTGAAAGTCTCAGATAAACACACATTCAGTCTGCAAAATCCAGTTTCTACTGCAAACAGCACACATTGTAAATCATTGCTATGAAATAAGAAAAAAAGACAACAAATAATACAGACAGTTCAGTTGTGATTGTTTTTATTTGAAAACTGAGAGCAAGTGACACAAAATAGATATTTGTGATATATATATATATATATATATATATATATATATATATATATATATATATGTATATATGGACAGCTAGAAAATAGTTGAGCAAACCGTATCTGTTTCGTATCCATGAAATTTGATCGATATGTAATCTGAACCATCTAGTGGTTTAAAAATTATTCACCAATAGTATTTTGAAGGGGTTCTGTATGAAATAAAGCACTTAGGATTATACATATGATCGTATTTCGTTTTTGGATAATAATAATAATAATAATAATAATAATAATAATAATAATAATGACATAAAAACAAATATTATGCCATGATATTTAGTTGTTAATTTCTAAGTTTGTTTCGATTAACAAGAATATGAATTTATTGATTAGCATAAAACAGTTGACAATGAACACCTGATAAAACTTTAAGTATAACAAATAATTGTTAAAATGATGATATTTAATTGTATGATCTATATACACCATAAAGCTCACACTGAATTATAATTTATAAAATGCATAAAGTTGAATATGACATGAACAAAGAAGCTTCATGTGAAAATTATCAAAAATTAAAAACAATAACTGATAACATGAAAAAACAAAGTGGATAATTTAAAAAAAAAAATAAAGCTGGTCAGTGATAATAACAAAAGACAATAAGACTAATAAAGAGTAATTACACAAAGTAAAAGAGTAAGGTTAGATATGCAGCTACAATAATCAATGCTAGTTAAAAAATCATTGGATAATTTAGGTATTTAACAAAGGAGAATTTAGTTATTAATTAATACCATGTAAATAATTCAAGAAGGTGGTATGAAAAAAAACACCAGTTTCACGCGTATAACAATAAACAGCAAAGAACTTACGCGATTACACATAGTTAGCTAATCTGATTTTGAAATTACATTTAAGAAAAATAAATACGAGTGTAGGTACAGCTTTACGTACAGAATGATATATAAGTAAGACATAAATTGAAAAATAACAGCAATAATAGAAATGAAAATGATACTCAGCCCCGCAATAAAGATATATATGTAGCTTACATAGGTATTACACTAATGGAAATGGGTGATGGTCGATCACTACTACCAGTTTGCCTAAAAGATAGGGGGGGAAGCAAATCAGCGGATGCCCATACAACGTTTCTAAACATTGGTTATGATAATTAAACAGACTCTAATCAGACAATATGCACCTATCAACAAGACTTAGTTCAAAAGTCAATGAGTTCAAACGACAGACGACTCTTATTAATTTGAATGCTCTTAGCATTTTCTCAATCAATTTTAGCTGACATTGTACGTTCAGGGGTTAATTCGAATCTGTGAAATAATTTAGTGACAAATATAATGTAAAGTTTAAACATACATATATGTTTATTAAATTAATTACGGTCTCATAAGACAAAAATCAATACTAATTAATTTGGAATATATTAGGCTTACTGTAACAGAACTTGTGATTTTATCATGTGTTGGGTTGAGAAAGCTAGGATTCAATTTTGCAGTTTCTGAAGAGTTACTTTGAGAACCTAAAAATAAAAGGAAAAGATAATAGAGGAAAATAGAAATTAAAGGAAACTGATTAATTATTACTTACTGAGTATTTTATAGAATGGTTATGTTTGCGTATGAAGCATATTTCTAGGATATTAACGAATACAAATAGTGAATAATAATAAATGTTGAGTGATAATTGAAAACTTAACAAACAGAGATCGATTATTGAATTCGGAATTTATACAAAATCTAATAGAAATGAAACGCTCAATCGAGCCTTTGCAACGATAGTTAGTAGCGGTATGACATTGTTGAGTCGATTTTGGAGGTCGTTAAGTTCAAAAAGCCCCCATCTATATTACCCAAGTAGGAAAAAAAAGATATCGAAGTACATTTGTAGTAGATGATCATCGGTACTAATTTACTTGGTTGAAATGCTATGGTCTTCGTTGATGGTATCGTTATATTTTTTTATTTTCTTTTACAAATTTAAATCATGTTTATACAAAAAAATTGTTGATTACTATCACAAACGTTTTGTTCTTCTACAATCCATAGATTATGAATTACACACATTCATTTCAACTTAAAGATACTCACAGTCACTCTGTTCAGTCTCTATCTCTTGCTATGTATACAACTTTGAAAATGAACTCGTTGAAATATATATATATTTTTCCCGAATAAATTGTTTTATGACTTAATGTGTATATTTTAATTAATTATTCGTGCTTTTAAATCTTATTTGCCATAAACAAAATTAACATGAGTTCAAAAGAAAAATGAACTACATGCATTAACTCAAAATGGTAATTTACATCTTTTATTATTTATTGACAACACTTTCACCGAATTCCTTGGTACGGCTGGGAGTGGGGAGAGTCGGGGCTCTCTCGATTTGCTCTGATAGGACCAGTCGTATACAGCCACTGCTAGAGAAGTCCAACTTATTGTCTTCTTACAGCGAAAACGTTATTTGTAAAATTGAGAGGACGAAAAGCGAGTGTCCGGTGTGAAGGATTCGCCTAGGGAAATTGGAAAACCTTGACTTCAAACTAATGGTGTATATGGACTCCAGAATCCAGACGGAACATATGGTGTATGAACCCATTGTTAGTCAACGGTTACCATGGGACTGCATCTTCTTATAATGCTCCACTGCCTTTGTGGGTTAGATTTTTGGATCAAAGGCTCGATATGTGGCTTCTAAGAAAACTACCTGCTTCAGTTTGAGTGACTAGACAGTATCTCAGTTAACTCACAAATTCAATAATTTGTGTGGCAAATAAATGTTTAGGTGCATTGATGTACAAATTTTTACGTGCTTAAATGAAAAATATGATTCAACCATTCAAAGTATGATTGACATAATCAGTGTTGTTATATTGTACATCTAACACAGATTTTTATCTTATTAAAATGAATGTGATTATATAAATAAATTGAACTCAGTCAAAAAGATCTGGCGTTATCAGCACAGATGATGAATACTGGTGATTCAAAGTACTTACTTTATCTACATAGGGGGAAATAGCTGAAGACATTATTAACGACTACATATATACAGAAAAACCGATCCAAAAAGAATGAAATACAGCAATAACAGTCCATCGCGTTAGTCACACATAAATCTAACTAACAACTAAACTCAAAGATTAGCTAATTGTTTGAGAGTTAAAGCATATTACGCAGCTTTACGGAACTGTAACAGAAAATACGAATATACTCACATGATCTAACAAGTAATTCATTTTCTAATCTAGTACGATGATGAACTTCTTGTTTAGTTGGGAATACTGGACTACTAGCAGCCGGTATGTGACATGAGGTAGCATCATTATTACTAGTATTATTATTATTATTATCGAACATTGTACTTAAAGCATCTAATTCGCCGCCATAATGTGGTTTATCAGAAGCAGTATCGATTTTATCGGTGGACAAGGAATGTTGTTGAGCTCCAAAATTATCTAAATTGAAAGGATTATCAGAAAAATTGACTGAATTTATTTGTTTTGCTGGTTGATGCATATTGAAATTCATTGAAGAAGGAAAAGGATAAGATGTACAGTATGATCTTTGCATGTTGACTTGAAGATGAAAAGGATCGTAGAAATATCGATTTTGAGTGTTATAGTTGAATTGTGACGAAGCACTGTGATTCATCAGTAAAAATGGATTTGATGAATAATTGATAGTAGGTGGGGATACTGTTCTATGAACATATACAGTAGAATTAGAATGAGTAGGCTTAATAATCGATGGAGTGTAAATTGGGGCAGTAGGTACCTAAACAACAAAAATATAATAAATCAAATTGAGTTAAGTGCAGTTGCAATGTAGGTGATAAAAAAAATAACACAACACTATACATGTTTAAAATATTGGCAATGTTTCTTTATTTACTTACAAACTTGAAATCGATTTTCCGTTCATTTGTTTGTTTATAGAGAAGAATCTAATAATTCAATGACTTAAAACAAGAAACTTGGACGTTTTCATCTAATTTACAAAGTGTATACCAACATAATGAACTGGTTTTATCATTTTTATTACAAACAAATGTAATAAAAACAAAGCGGAAAGGTCTCGGTAGGATAGAGTGTTAGGGAGCTAATAACATTTTTTTCAACTAACAATTGATAGATTGTGAAATTCATACTTTAACATGTCTATAATAGAGGATAAAATGAATGACAGTCGAGCGACGACCAGATAAAAATTTGAATATCATTCAAAACAATGAGGAACTATTTCAATACTTTGGTTTCAAATAAACGCATACAATGAAGTAAATACATGAAAATTTGTGAGTAAAAGTAAAGATCGGAATTATTTTAATGGGTTGAAAGTGATAAGTTATGTAGTTTGCTTAAGAGTTATTTCAGTAATTCTAGATACTTAATAAACAATCCAACCCAATGTAATAAGTGGAATTCTAAAATCAATACTTATAGGATTGTGAATCTGGTGAAATGAACAAGGTATTTAGTTATCGATTAGCTAGAATGAGAATCATTCAGCGAATCAGGTTTTCTTTAATCACCCGTGACATTTAATCATGTACACTTGTCTCTGTGAGTAAGTCAAATTAAAGCACGTTATTTTATTAAATAAATAAAGCCTATTCGATATGGCAGTTGTTTTAACCTATAAAATTGGGTCAGAGGTTCAGTTTTATGACTAACCAACTCATAGCATGTGATTGCACAATATCTGTCAGTTGAGATTCTTTTCTTTTATTTTAACAATTGAAAATTCGTTCATTACATTAGAGAATCAAACATCAGTTTCATATCACTGGTTCACAAGATATTTTTTACATTCAACAATGAATAACTAAATTGACATTGAAAAATGATTAACAACTGTATTACACAGAGTTATGGAACCAATAAATCAAAAATAAAATAGCTTAGAATAAGATGAAAATTTATTTTTACACTTTCCCATCTTATAACACAAACCAACCAATCAAGATTATACCAAAGATAATCAAAAATAAGCTAGTGAATTAACTTTAAATGAATAAATTACCAATAATAATAATAATAATAATAATAATAATAATAATAATAATAATAATAATAATAATAATAATAATAATAATAATAATAATAATAATAATAATAATAATAATAATAATAATAATAATAATAATAATAATAATAATAATAGAGAACAAGAAAGCTTACTGTAATACGATATCTAGGCATAAATGCCAAAGGATCTGGTAGAGGACTATAAAAATCAATTAAAGGTGGAGCTGACGGCTGACAATCGAAATCTTTAGTGTTGATAGAACTAACTTCATCTAATAAATTATCAAGTGAAAATGAATGTTTTTTCGACGAATTTATACTTTCAGAAATTGATGATGTATTGTAATTTTTAACTTGATGACTATTACTACTACTACTATCAATGATTGTATTGTCAGATTTATTAAAATTATTATCTTTATCAGATAAATGTTTGGTATTATCTTTAAATTTTGAACATTGCACAGTAGCATTAGGAACATTTTTACTGCTGATATCATCTTTGCAGAAAATAGCATCATGTTCTTCAGGTCCAGGAGGTGGAGGTAACATAGTTATAGGACTGTAAGTTGCAACTATAAAAATGAACAAGAAATGAGAGAATAATACGATGAGTATAAAGAATGCTGTAGTGGATTCAACTTATTTATATTACTAGTTAATAGGATTAGTGGATTTTAGAATCCACTGTTGAGAAACACGTTTCATGTTAGTAATAACAATATTAATAATTATAATAATGAAATAACTCCACTTAAAGTCTGTCTAGGCCATTGCGGGTACCAACTACGGATAAAGAAGGAGGGTTTGGATTGGGGATGGCGACCCCATTCTATAAAAAAACTAACTCGCTAAGAAACGCTAATCAGAAAAAAAATTTAAACCAATCTAACTCTGCTCTGAGAGTCAGAAAATATTCATTCAGAAGAGTTGTGAAGTCTCATGGTGAAAGCCGAGTTCCTCCAGACGTCACGAGGCCGATGCCCCTTCTGACAATCAGAGCAACTATTAACACAGGTACATGGAATGTTCGAACAATGTCGTAGACCGAAAGATTGTTCCGAATTGCCGCACAGATGAAAAGATACAGCCAGGGTATGTTTGAAATCTGTGAAACACATTCGACATACGTTGGACAACTAAAACTAGCTTCAGGAGAGCTGCTGTTACACTCTGGTCATGAAGAGGAAAATACTTCACATACACAAGGAGTTGCACTGATGCTATCCAAACGAGCAAAAAATTCACTTATATGATGGGAATCTCGTAGACCGAGGATCATCAAAGCATCCTTCAAAACAAAGAAATAGGACATTACAATGAACGTCATTCAATGCTATGCACCTACCAATGACTACAATGAAGACGTTAAAGATCAATTCTACGATACGCTGTAGTCAATCGTCGACAGATGCTCATCAAAGGACCTGACTATTCTAATGGAAGACCTAAACGCCAAGGTTGGCGTGGACAACACTGGATATGAAGACATCATAGGACGACATGGACTGTGAGAAAGGAACGAAAATGATGAGAGGTTTGCAAACCTGTGTCTCTAACAAACTGGCCATTAGTGGCACAATATTCCCACACAAACGCGTACACAAAGCTACATGGGTTTCGTCAGATCACACAAAAATCGACCATATTTGAATCAACAAAAAGGTTCAGACCAAAGGAATAGGTGAGGAAGAGCTGATTTAGTTTCAGATCATTAATTGCTGGTCTCCAAGATAAAACTGATACTCAAGAGGCACTAGACAACGGGGCAGACATCACAAAAGTTTAATACGGCTTTTCATCGGGATGCTGGAGAGCCCAACCCAAGATAGCCCTCAGCAATAGGTTCCAGGCCTTGCACGATCTACTCAACGGAGAGGAAACAACTATAGAGAACAATTAGAAAGGGATCAAGGTAGCAATCAGTTCAATATGTCAGGAGTTTTTGGGCCACAATAACTATCATCACAGGGAATGGATCTCTAATGGTACTCATGAAAAAAACTCAAGAAAGAAGGAACAACAAAGCAGCAGCCAAACAGGACCAGATAGAGTCTAGGCATATGTTGAACACACTGAAGCAAACAGGGAAGTGAAGAGGAGTATCAGAGCCGACATACGAAAATATGTGGAAGATCTAGCAATGACGGCGGAAAAGGCTGCAAAACAAGGAAACTTGAGATAATTGTACGATACAACAAAGAAGCTCGCTGGAAACTATCGTAAACCAGAATGACCAGTGAAAAGCAAGGAAGGCGAAGTAATCAGCAACATTGAAGAAAAGCGAAACAGGTGGGTAGAGCACTTTAAGGAACTATTGAATCGACCAGACCCACTGAACCTACCCAGCATCCATGGACCCCCCAATCGATGTCGGTCCAACAATAATTGATGAGATTAGCATGGCTGTCAGACAAATTAAGAGACAAAGCAGCAGGACCAGACAACTTTCCAGCAGAGGCAATGAAAGCAGACGTAACAGTAACTACACACCCTCTTCAACAGGATTTGGGATGAAGAGCAAGTACCAACAGACCGGAAAGGATACCTGATCAAATTACCAAAGAAAGGCGATTTCAACAAGTGTGAGAACTACAGAGGCATCACTCATCTCTCAACACCAGACAAAGTCTTCAATGAGGTGTAGATGAAATGTCAGGTAATTAAACTGTTTATTTGAAACACTTAAAATATCTGAAAACTTGTGTATTTTTTTCTCGGTTAGGTTTAGGTATGAACTGGTCAAAATGATATATCAAATGCTTGGTAATGTTATTAAATTTCTCAAAATAGTTAGCATATGAAAAGATTGACTACTTTCACCAAAATGCAACTACAATCCTATGAATGAAACTTGGTGGATGTTGTTTCCTCAGGGGTAGACAATTTAAACACACTACTTTGATAGTGTATTTACAGTTATTATTAAAAAATTCTTCCGACAGTAAATCATTGACAGATTTCTAACAGATTGAGTATATATGTGAATACTGACTAAGTATTCTGTTGGATGAGAAGCATTGAGATTTTCTCAGAATTCTACAGAAACTGGCAAAATGGCTTAAAATATACATATTAAGTAGAGTGTATGTAAATTTTTTCCTGGAGATTTCTAAAAATATAATTAATAATTGTAGCACGTTCAGAGACTTCTAAAATACCAAGGTCATACTTCTGTTTTCCGTTTAAAGCTGAAGAGTAGAAATGGTCCCAGTGAATAGGAAGAGGTTAAGAAATTAAATGCCAAACTTTTGACTACCAGATATAATCAATCATTCAAAAAACATCAGGGTATTACGGTTGTAAATGAAAGTAAGTAAAGCCTGAAGACAATTTCAAAATATAAAGTTGAGAATGAAATGAAATGATTTGAAACAAAATAAGCCCACATTGACCAGAAAAATACCCGAATAAGTAGAACAATTTACCTTCATGGTCATTGTAACTGTTTGTAATATAGTTAGCAACTGACATTCTGTGACGATTTAGCAACTCAGATTTAGGACATTTTCGTAATTCCACATTGTCAACATTTAGTCCTATAGTTGCTTTAGGTGTTTTATCAAGAATTCTTCGTTCATCTTCTTCTCCTTCACTATTATCATCATCACCATCATATTTATCCAGATTTGGTTCATTTGAAAGTGATAAATTCGTGAAAAAGCACCCGTAAGTCGAAGAATAAGTTTCAATTAATGACAAATTATCATCAAGCGGTAAGAGATTGTAATTTGGACTACTGAGTAACGTTCCAGGCTTTGTTTTATCACATTTTTGACTAGTAGGAGTAGGAGGGCGGTCACAACGACTATGAGAATTAGAAGAATGAAACGTTTTAAAAACACACATAGAGTATTGAATATTAATAAAATTTCGAACAAAATGGTCATAAAATTACTGTTTAGCTTGTTCAGAAATAATCTTGTAATATTTAAAAAGAGAAAACTGTAGAAACACAATAGACTGACAGTCTTCAGTGAACCAAACAAAATACATATCATGCATTTTACATAATATTTAAGGTGCAGCGATAGATAACTTGTGTGTTATTATTAACAATGTAAAAATTGGCAATAAGCTTGAAATCAGTAAAGATTTCTATCACGAAACCAATAAGTGGTACTTCAGCTAAGTTACAAAACGTAACTCCTCTCAAAGCAAATAGTATGTTAAAGTACTTGTTGTAATTCAATGTATTGTCAAGGGTGTTTATTGAAACTAGATGATATTGTCCTTCTTAAATTCTTTAAATCTCAACTAATAGGTATTTTCAGTTTGTACACAGTAGAATGACAAAGCATTACATCGGAGTTGATGTCAGATCGTGATGAATACTCTAACTCTAATCAGAACTCCGGCATAGTTTTTAATACCTAACCCTAACCTTTTCGTATCACAAAAACTCTGTAGGGTGATAACTCTAATTCACAACACTAGCACGACTTTTAATAGGTGAAGTTAGCCTTTTGTTTTCACTAAAAGGAATAATTCGACAAGTGAAGGTTGATTATTCAGATCAAAGCTATTATTCCACTGATATTGATTGTTTTATAACTATGCTGCGTTTCCTGATTGGTTGATAGGCCACCAAAGGTGGTATTTCAACAAAAAAACTTTGATTATACAAGGAACTATCGGAAGATGGTTAATATTGCGAAGAAATTTATTTAGTGGGATTTAACGGGAAGATGGTATAATGTGCGACATTTCAACTCGAGCAGTTGCAAAAACCTTATCAGTATAAGGACGCAAGATGAGCGGAGTCGATGCCAAAAGTGTCCCTTATTGTGATGAGGTGTGGTCAAGTCAATTACATAGATTCTCCTATCCAAACTCGTCTAGTTGTGTTTTAGTAGGTAGAACAATACAAAATCTGTAAGAATTATGATAGTACGCATTAAATCTGTAGAGAATATGGATTTCATAAGATTTTAACTGAGAAGAATAATCGAGACTAAGAGACAATGTTTTGCATTACTAATCTTTAGATAGTTAATTCAATTTAAGGTACTTACGTATGCGATAAGTTATATTGTAATAAGCTTGATTCTGTTTGACTGTTACGAATGGGTGGTTCATCATGTAACAAGGAATCACGAAGTGGCGATTGCTTTATATCATCAACTACTACAGTGAGAAGAAATATGAAACAAAATTAATTAGTTTAGTTGGAAAGAACAGAAAACTATTGTTAAATAAAGTTCAACTTAGCTCAAAATACAGAACTATCCCATCACAAGGACTATCTAGTTGTTGATGGGACTCTAATTTATAAACGAACCAATCAAATTTAAGATAGTAAGTCTGTCATTCCTCTACATAACCGAATAACGTCTCGGTATTATAGTTGATGTCAGTTCATAATGTAAACCGTAACTCTCATTTATAACCCTAACTTCTAACTCTTTATCCTAATCCTAATTTCTCACATCAATTCGTAACCCTCTTCTGACCCAAGCAAGTTGGCGAATTTTCTGAAGGTCACTTCAGCATCGCTCAAAGGCTATTCACAATAAAGCACCACGGCATAGCATGTGACATGTGTGTACAGTACAGTTGGATATGGTTTTAAAGAATCAAATGTTAAGTTAAAAGTCTTTAGTTGATACAATGGACAAGCATAGATACACAATGTGTCTGTGTTATTATGGCCAATAAAAAAGTTAGCTGTAATTTATTCAAGGGATAAGGTAAATGTCTACTGTTTCTGACAAATCATATTAAGCAGTTGGCTTGGTTGATACTTTTAGAATAATAATTACTGTTATTTTACAGTATATTTAAACAAACCAAATTAGTCAATAAAATATACTGCTAGGAGAAATTCACTTCCAACAGAATCGATCACGTTTAAAAACTTATAATATTATAAAACAATACGCGTGACATATCCAATAAACATTCTAGATATAATGAAAAACAGATATATATATATATATATATATATATATATATATATATAAACTATTCAAGTTAACATTCCATGTGGAGACAAAAGTAAGCATAACTTACAAGTATGTGTCCTGTTTTTTCGAAATTGAACGATGCCACGAGGAAATGAACCTATTTCACCAGTTCGCCTATTTTGACCACGCCACCAAAAGTCGCGGGGTTTCCCATCAATAATGACAACAATATCACCTGCTTCTAAGCCTAAACGATCAGCTTCATCAAGATTTTGAGTCGCTATTACGACAGTTGGACGAATCTACAGTTTTAATCACACATATATAGAGAATCGAAAGATGATAAAAAGTACAAAATCATATATAAACTACGAATCTAACATTTGATAAGGATAATGGCATTTTATATGGAGATTAATCAAAGGTCAATTAAATAAAAGTTCCAATAGACATAATGTGATAATTGTAAGTAAAGGAGAGAGAAAATCAACGTAATATGAAAAGAATAAGAAGAAAGGGTAGGAATTTGTCACATTATCCTAGGCTTAAAGATTACCAGGGTAAATCCAAGGTTATAACAAATTGTTTCTGTACACATAACTCCGCCAGTAGAACCTTAGGGGCTACTGCCGGTCCCAAGCCCGGATAAAGGAGGAGGGTTGGACATGTGGTTGGAGACCCCATTCCGTTGAAATCTCACTTGCCAAAAAAACGCTAACCAGAAAAAATAATTCAAACCATTTTAACTCTGCCCTGGGAGTTGCAAGAAGAATTATGACGTCTCGTGATGAAAGCCGAGTTCCCTCGGAAGTCACGGGGCTGATGCCTCTTCTGACAACCAGAGCAACCATTTTTTTAGGTACATGGAACGTTCGTACATTGTGGGAGACTGGAAGACTATTTCAAGTTGCGGCAGAAATGAAACGATACAACCTCGAGGTGCTCGGCATCAGTGAAACGCATTGGACACAGGTAGGACAACTGAGACTAGCTTCAGGGGAACTGCTGTTATACTCTGGTCATGAAGAGGAAAACGCTTCACATACACAAGGAGTTGCATTGATGCTGTCCAAACATGCACAAAAGGCACTGATAGGATGGGAATCTCATGGACCCAGGATCATTAAAGCATCCTTCAAAACAAAGAAACAGGACATTACAATGAACGTCATCCAATGTTATGCACCTACCAAGTTCTACAATGACGACGTTAAAGATCAATTCTACGAAAGGCTGCAGTCAATCGTCGAGAAATGTTCACCAAAGGATTTGACGATTCTTATGGGAGACCTGAATGCCAAGGTTGGAATGGACAACACTGGATATGAAGACATCATGGGACGACATGGACTGGGAGAAAGGAACGAAAATGGTGAGAGATTTGCAAACCTATGTGCCTTCAACAAACTGGTCATCGGTGGCACAATATTCCCGCACAAACGCATACACAAAGCTACATGGATTTCACCGGATCACACTACTCAAAACCAAATTGACCATATCTGTATCAACAAAAAGTTCAGAAGGACCATGGAGGATGTGAGAACCAAGAGAGGAGCTGATATAGCTTCAGATCACCATTCGCTGATCGCCAAAATGAGATTGAAGCTAAAGAAGCACTGGACAACGGGGCAGACAACATCACACAAGTTTAATACGGCCTTTCTTCGGGATACCGTAAAACTCAACGAATTCAAGATAGCCCTCACCAATAGGTTCCAGGCCTTTCAGGATCTACTCAATGGAGAGGAAGCAACATTGGAGAACAATTGGAAAGGGATTAAGGAGGCAATCACTTCAACATGTCAGGAGATCCTTGGTCGCAAGAAGCACCATCACAAGGAATGGATCTCTGTTGATACTCTTGCAAAAATTGAAGAAAGGAGGAACAAGAAGGCAGAAGTGAATGTCAGCCGAACAAGAGCAGAGAAAGTTAAGGCGCAAGCCGAGTATACAGAAGCAAACAGGGAAGTGAAGAAGAGCATCAGAGCTGACAAACGAAAATATGTGGAAGATCTAGCAATGACGGCGGAAAAAGCTGCAAGAGAAGGAAACTTGAGACAATTGTACGAAACAACAAAGAAGCTCGCCGGGGACTATCGTAAACCAGAACGACCAGTGAAAAGCAAGGAAGGGAAAATAATCAGCAACACTGACGAACAGCGAAATAGGTGGGTGGAGCACTTTAAGGAACTATTGAATCGACCAGCTCCACTGAACACACCAAACATCGAAGCAGCATCCAAGGACCTCCCAATTAATATTGGCGCACCTACGATTGAGGAGATCAGTATAGCCATCAGACAAATCAAGAGCGGCAAAGCAGCAGGACCAGACAACATTCCAGCAGAGGCAATGAAAGCAGATGTGGAAGCAACTGCGAAAATATTTCACATTCTCTTTAAGAAGATTTGGGATGAGGAACAAGTACCATCAGATTGGAAAGAAGGATACCTCATCAAAATACCAAAGAAAGGCGATCTCAGCAAGTGTGAGAACTACAGAGGCATCACTCTTCTTTCAATACCAGGCAGTCTTCAACAGGGTATTGTTAAACAGAATGAAGGACTTCGTAGACGCCCAACTTCGAGATCGACAGGCCGGATTTCGTAAGGATCGATCATGTACTGACCAAATTGCTACATTACGGATCATTGTGGAACAATCAATTGAATGGAACTCACCACTCTACATCAACTTCATCGACTACGAGAAAGCATTTGATAGCGTGGATAGGAAAACACTGTGGAGGCTTCTTCGACACTACGGTGTGCCTGAGAAAATAGTCAACATCATACGGAATTCTTATGATGGATTCAACTGCAAAATCGTGCACGGAGGTCAGCTGACAGACTCTTTTGAGGTGAAGACCGGTGTCAGGCAAGGTTGCTTACTCTCACCCTTTCTCTTTCTCCTGGTCATCGACTGGATTATGAAGACGTCAACATCTGGAGGGAAGCACGGTATCAACTGGACAGCTAGGACGCAGCTGGACGATCTGGACTTCGCAGATGACCTGGCTCTTCTATCGCACACTCAACAACAAATGCAAGAGAAGACGACCAGTGTAGCAGCAGCCTCTGCAGCAGTAGGTTTTAACATACATAAAGGAAAAAGCAAAATTCTCCGATGCAACACAACATGCACCAACCGAATCACGCTTGATGGAGATACCTTGGAGGACGTTAACACCTTTACATATCTTGGCAGCATCATCGACGAGAAAGGTGGATCGGACGCAGATGTGAGGACGCGGATTGGCAAAGCGAGGGCTGCATTTCTACAGTTGAAAAATATCTGGAACTCCAAACAACTTTCAAACAAAACCAAAATCAGGATTTTCAATACAAATGTCAAGACAGTTCTACTGTATGGAGCGGAAACATGGAGAACTACCAAAGCCATCATTCAGAAGATACAAGTGTTTATTAACAGCTGTCTACGCAAAATACTTCGTATTCGTTGGCCAGACACCATCAGCAACAACGAACTGTGGGAGAGAACAAGTCAGATTCCAGTGGAGGAGGAAATCAGGAAGAAGCGGTGGAAGTGGATAGGACATACACTACGAAAAGCACCCAACTGCGTCACTAGACAAGCCCTCACATGGAACCCTCAAGGCAAAAGGAAAAGAGGAAGGCCAAAGAATACATTACGCCGAGAAATAGAGAAAGATATGAGAGGAATGAACAAACAGTGGACAGAACTGGAGAGGGAAGCCCAGGACAGAGTTGGTTGGAGAAAACTGGTGGGCGGCCTATGCTCCATTGGGGGTAACAGGCGAAAGTAAGTAAGTAAGTTCTGTACACATAGGGGGGGAGGCTGTTCGTAAACTAAATATAAAATGCCTTGACAAGTATATGTGTGACCAGATTGTTCGAAATGTATCGTGCAAATACATCACACTTTTCAGATCAATTACGTCTTTTCACTGTTCTATCAAAAGTTATAAAAGGGATTAACTGTTTTAGATTTTTTGCATTCAACAGATAAGGTCAAATTACATTATAGTATATTAATAGTTAGTGTGAAAAATTATTGAAACAAACGCACACTACTGAATTACAAGGCGTGACAACCAAAGGCCCTCATTTTTTTTCGATAAACCATTAAACACAAATGTTTACAAAATGGTAATGGATTTGCTCATGTTTAGGCAGGGGTAAATTGAGAAATACATAAAATATACATAACAAGATGGAATATATTAGTTATCATTATTTTTAGTAGAAGCCAATATCACTTGAAATGAAAATTAGATTGTTGAAAGAACCCAGTAGTAGTTGGGTGGTTGTATGTGATAAGTCACCTAACTAATTGGTTAGTTATAATTGTATATCAATGATTGTGATAAGTTAATGATACAAATATAGAAACTCTGGACATTGGTCAGTATGAAAGACTATTAGAACCTGTCGCTGTCAACTTGAGTAGTAATAATTAGTAGTTAAAAGTCGTAGGTGGGAGGTTTTACTAGAATATTCTTGAATTATCGACCAGCAATAGAAAATTAATTATTAACCAGTTTCCAGATGATAGAGATGATAATTTACCAATTAAATGTCGGGAATTCATTAGTGTTTTCACACATTAAGTGGCTTTGGAAGCTTTAATGAATTTTCGAAATTATGAATAGTGTCAAAAATGTAGGCTACTAGTTGTATCTTGGTGTCGTTCCATATGGAGTCAGATAGAATGGCAATGAGCAAAGACTCGTAATTTTAACAAGACACCACAGGAGAAATCTTACCTGATCTAATCTTTCGGCAAGGTAAGAAAATGTCGGTCTACGATGTGGTTCAACTCGCCAACAAGCTAACATTAGCTGGTATAAACGACGTGGACAAGTGAACCGAGGCCATACCAACCTACGACCAGAATCTATAAGTTCTAACAAACGAACAACGGTGATACCCGACCAAGGATCTGCACCGCCGGTCCACATTTCCCATAACGTAACACCTAGACTCCAGATATCACTCGCTTCAGAAAAAGTTCGTTTATGTAAAGATTCTGGAGCGGACCTATAGATAAAAAAACACAAATTCTACTTATAGCTTTATAAAATCTAAATACAATAAAGAGAAGCTTATTTGTCGTAGTGCACGTCACTCAGATATACAATAGTAAATCTGGAAGACAAATATTACATTGACGATGTGAAGTGAATGGTTACTAGTAAAATGTTTTTCGTGTTTTCGTCTCGGAAAATTACCGATATCTTATAGGTTTAAAAAGCGCAACAATAGCTAGAAGTGATGTATTCGCGTCGGGGCCCACTTGGATTCCATACTTAGTGACGAACATAACAGTTCTCACCTCTATAGAAGAGAACGTCTTTACAAAGTCAAGGTGTCACATGAAGCTGTTCTTCCCCTTTCCTCGTTTTTTCTAAATGATCTGCCATCTACAGAAAACACTTTTGTGAATCATGTAGATAATCTTACTGTTTGTATACCAATTTCTGCCCTTTCACATCTGTAAATGAATGAATTCTTGTCCCTCACCTAACGATGGTCTGTTTCCGACTGTCTCACATATAATTTCTCAAAATTTCAAGCTTTTAAATGTAGCCTGAGACATGAACAGGACTTCAACACTTTTATGATGAAGATCGTGCCAAAAGCCATTAATCTTAGTATAAGCTTTTCTTCTGATTTCTATGGTATTTTCATGTTCTACTGATATCGAAGAAAGTTGTCCGTTTGACTTCTTAGGTAAAGAGGCTACATGCTTTTGGAATTACTCGAGGTTTACTTTTACGCTTTGTAGATTCATGCATATTACTTAATATCCTTTAATGTGATTACAGAGTTTGTGGTGAATCTTTTGAAATCATTATGAATATGATGGTGGATAGATATTTTAAAACTTGAAAAATCTTTAAAAGTGTCATCCTATATGATACTAACCATCCACATATTTCTGTTATATCTTCTAGTAGAATAACACGCCAATATATTAGAATTCGTGTATGTAAGCAAAAGTATAAAAACTCTTATTCAGCAAATATACTATACGACGAACAACTGGTAAGAACTGACCCAGTTAAAAGCTTATATTCCTAAATATGTTCCTAATTAAGAAATTGTATAAATTCTCACTACATAAAAAAATACACTTCATTTAAATTCCAGATATTTTCTTTATGTATGTATTTATGTATGTTTTTATTGATATATGTTTGCAGTTATTGTTTTGTAAAGGAAGCTTGTTGAAATGCTACGTGCTGAGAATTCCATATTGTTCTAAACACGTAATATTAAATAAAGCCATTATTATGATTATCATTACTATCATTACCGATGATAATAATAATAATAATAATAATAATGACATCAGTAAGTGGCTCTACAGTTGTTATCAGGCACAACACAAAGGAGAACGATCTCTTGTTATGATAGTCACAGCAGTTAATTTCTCGGGTTCAACATTGCTTGGACATTCCACACAACTGGTCTCAAACGAGGAGAAGGATTCACAGGTAAAAGTTCATACTTCGATAAATCTGAACAACAAAGATACAAGTAGTGCTGGCAATGGAATTTAAATGGGGAAATTCTAAAAACTAACTGGCTGAAAAATAAACAAATTAGCTCACTCAGATTTGAGACAGATCCAGGCATGAAACAGTCAGGAATTTATTCTACCGCAAACATCAGTTAGTATGGTGTGATCTCAAATTCTCAAACTTTAAATATGATGAAAATGAAAATGAAATACTAAAACAGTAAAAGCAACCTTGAGATTACCTAATGTAACTGCAGTATAAGTGTGCTTTGACTGAAACAGCGAGTTTCACAAGCGCATACAAACTAGCTCAGTTCTTGCATGGATTAGATACACATATGATGGATCAGTCGAAAGAAAACTAACATTTCTTATTGTGTTGGAAAATCAAGAATGTTTAGGAAATTAACTGAATCATTGAGAATGTCATAGCGTAAGTTGTATTCAACAGCAATAACTTATAAATTAAATTATTCTATTATCCTTTTACTTATGGTTATTGTAGGACCGATACTTGTGATTAAAGTGATTATGAAGTTTGTGATTCACATAAAATAATTGCTACTAATATCCGTCGGGTAACCTAACTAATGTTTTTATTAACATAAACTATTTTACTTGGATAGCACCTACGTTTCCCACATACTTTTGAGGACCATTATAGGTTATAATAAATAAATTATCAACCACAAATTATAATATTTATACATTTATATTACAAATATCTCAACCTTACAACGAGTTAGTGATTGCATGAGGAATTCAATAGTGAAGTTAGCTGGACTACGTGGGTTTGAATCCCACAAGAAGAAATAGTTTTTCAAGATTGCAGGTATTCCATGCTAACGAGTGGTAACTTATGCAAAACCTAAGTCTTACAGAACTTCCTGCCGACTTCCTCTAACCATGTAACATATTGTACGAAGTATCTTTCAATCACATATTCCAAATCGAAAAGTATAGTGAAGAAGATTTTTTGCTCAAGAAAAGAGGTAGCTGACAATACACAAAAACGTACGTACATAAGTTCATGTTGCCATACCATGAACTTAATTTTACTGAACCAAAATTAATCTCGTTAATGTGATTCATCATAGTGGAAAATACTTTTAAATATTTGAGTTTTACATTATGATAGTAATCACATTTATGTATTAATTACCTACCAGGCAAATGGAATTTTTTGTTCTAAACATCCTGTATAGATTGATTGATTTGATTTATTTTCATTTAATTTGTTCTCATTTACTGTACATGACTCTAATGATCGAACTAAACCAAAATCAGCAATTTTAATTCGAGGATATCCATTCTCTGGAATTGATGAGAGTAAAATATTTCTAGCTGCTAAATCACGATGAACCAAACCTTGAGATGTCAAATAAGCCATACCACAAACTATTTGAATAGCCATATCCCATAATGCATCAATTTGAAGAGCACGAGGTACAGATGGGAAATGTGCTGTTACTTCATTTGGTTTACCAGGACTATTATTACTAGCACACAGTGATTGAGCTCTTAAATGTAATAACAGGCTGCCTAATGGTGCTAATTCAGTTACCTAAAATAAAATAAAAGTATCCGTAATGCATTTTGATTATATATATATATATATATATATATATATATATATATATATATATATATATATATATATGTCCACAATGATGGTATGACAATCAATATGTATGGGATTTTAAGAATTATGCATAAATTAATTGCAGTAAAAAAACACGGGGAATATAGATTGTAATTCTTAAAGAATATCGAAATTGATCATTTTCGACTTCTCATTCAACTTTCTTGATCCGTAATTATATAATAATGAAATGAATGATATAGGAACTATAATTACTAAGCTGTGATTTGATTTCTTAAGTTATAGTTGACTGAGATGTAAGTGATCAAAATTTATTTTCTTTAATTGTTTATTACATTTAAACATAGTTATCCTTCTGTTAAGATAAACATGTTGCTTTGTTACAAAAAGATCAATCATTTTTAGAAGCTATGATAACTTAAGATATTGGTTCAATCGGAGGACTTGATTTTGTTTCGTGAGTAACAATCATTCGACTTTTTTGATTTAACTACCAATAGAAATTTGTTCACCAAATCACAAGATCTTGCTCGATGAAAGATGTCACAATTAAAAGCTAATACAGTCATCAAGGATATAGCTTAATGTAGATATTCTTCTCTTACATTTTCATTCCATATTTATTATGTGATAAGCTTTTTATCTTAGGCTAGCAGATATATAAAATTAGTCTAATCCTAATGTTATTGATAGTATTATTAGATTCCCTACCTTTTAAATATAATTTTAGTTGAACGCTACTTTTTTATGCGAAATATGAAGCACTTTGCTCAGATCTTATTATAGCTGTCATTGATAATGAGTAATAAATAACTTTACGTTTCTGGAAAATTTCGTTTTCACGTTAGGCTGTTAACACTAAATCGATTGGCTTTTGCCAACCTGTGTCACTTATGGCGTAGGCGTGATATCCGTTCGCTAACCAAAGGGCGGGTGTACTGCGCAGCAGTTCGTTCCGTTCTCTTATATGGCTGTGAAACATGGCCGTTAAGAGTAAAAGATATTCGTAGGTTACTAGTATTCGATCATAGATGTTTAAGAAGCATAGCTCGTATATCGTGGGACAGCCGAGTAAGCAATGCTGTCGTTAGAAAACGAGTACTAGGTAAGGATGGCAGATCAATAGATGAAGTGGTGAAACTTCATCAGTTGAGGTGGTTGGGACATGTGTTACGTATGCCTAACCACCGACTGCCTCGACGAGCTATGTTTTGTGGTGTAGGAGTAGGTTGGAAGAAAGTTATGGGCGGCCAGACCAAAACATGGCAGAAATCCATGAAGTCACTGACAAGTGGACTGAGTCATGTTGGTAGATGTAGACTACCTGGTTGGGGTCCGCGAGACGAAAGTCATCAATGGTTAGAGACCTTGAACGACATGGCTCAAAGTCGTTTGCAATGGCGCAGGTGCATCCACTCTTTGAGCTCTCTCAAATCCTAATCTTCTGGATTCGTCAGCACCTCTACCTTTGTTTTTCTAACCTTTTCTCACTGAATTATATTTCTTGAATAATATCTTCGAACCCTAGTCTTCTTTATTAACATTAATACCTCTACTATCTTTATCACTATGGGATTTGATTTGACATTTGCGTCTCTGCGCTGTGGTATGGCAACATGAACTTATGTACATACGTACGAAGTTCTACGTTGCAACTGACTGACTAACACTAAATCACGGTTAGCAGATAAATAATTTGTCGGATACAGCTTTGTGTATTTATCTTAGAATCTCATCTTTATGTGAGGGTTGAAATTTAATGAATACGGGTAAACAAATAAGAAAAACTTTCAAAAATCAATATCATAGATCAAATTACCATCATAATTGGATTAGATAGTACAATTCCATGAAGGCGAATTAAACTAGGATGAGAAAGACATTGCATTGCACGAATTTCATGCAAGAATCCTGTGAATAAATCACTTTTCATTGCTTCTGGTTTTAATAATTTTACAGCCACAGGAATCTGTATAGATGAAAGTTTTTATTAAGAACAATAACAGTTAAGCCAAGCAGACAACTATCAGCTTTAGGAAAAAATGAAAGAATAAAAAATCCTTTTATCTATTGAACTCAGTGACTATCCGGATATCTGGATTATACGAAACTCAACCAAGAAACTTAGGATTATTCCCAGTCCCCAGCCCGCAGTAAAAAGGAGAGGGGAACAGAGCTATAAACACCACCTTGTAATCGGAATCTCGCCAGAAAACGCCATTTAGAAAGAACCGTTTAAATATGCCCTGGCAGTTAAAGTAGCTTCATATACAAGAGTCGTGATGTCCTACATGATGAGAGCCAAGATTCCTTGTGAAATAAATAAGCTAACACCCTTTCTGATAATCAGAGCAACAATTACTATAGATCTGTGGAATGTTCGGATAACGCGGAAGAACAGAATGGTAATTCGAATGGCTAGGGAAACTTTAAGATTGAGCCTGATCACGCTTGTAATAAGTTGAACTCACTGGACGCAACCTAAACAGAAAGGATTGACTCGGAAGAGATATTATATTATTTTGGTGGTGAAGAAAATGCCTTACACATATAAGAAGTTGTACTGATGCTCTCCAAAGAGGCAAGAACATTGGTCATGTGATTTGAATCTCATAGTTCCGGAATCAGCAAGGCAGCCTTCATAACAAAGTAATATCGAGGAAAAAATCCGGTCATCTCGGTGGCGGAATCTACACACCAAAATTGGGATGGACAACATTCAGTATGAACAGAGTATTAGGCGATCCTAACTGGGAAAAAATAACGACAATGGCGAGAGGTTGGTACACCTACGGGCTTTTAACAACATGGCTATGAAAGAAAACATTTTCGCTCATTAAAGGTTTCACAAAGCTACATGCTTTTGGCTGGACAACATTACTGAGAACCATATCGACCACATTCAGAAAGTTCATGGGGGGGGGGTGGAAGAACAGAAATGCGCTGAAGCACTAAACTAAAGAAATCCAAGACATATAGGGGGGTGGAGGAACAGAAATGCGCTGAAGCACTAAACTAAAGAAATCCAAGACAGGCTAAATATACAGAAGTAAACAAATGATTAAAGAAGAGTATCAGAAGTAATACGTGAAAATAAGTAGATCTCGCCACTAAAGCAGAAGGTGAAAGATAATGAGTAAAACAGAACGATGTGATGGAACTAGGAAGCCTGCGGAGAAATATAGTAAACGAGAGCGACCACTCAGGAACAAAAAGGCAAACTAATCACTGTAGTTTAGAGCAGTGGGATAGTTGAGTAGAGTACTTTGAATAGATCAATACCACCGAACACACTAAACATCGATGGAGTACACACAGATCTCCGTATAGACGATAATATATTAACAATCGAAATCGGCACGGTCGTCAAGCAAATTAGGAATGGCAAAACAATACTTCACGTCATAACACTGAGAATCAATACTAAACAACCACTCTCTTTATCATGAGAAATCTTTCGACAGTGTACATAAGCAAACCTTGCGGAATCTTCTTAAATACTATGAGGTACCTGAGATTTTCAGCACCATACCAAACTCTTATGACTGAATTCCACAGTCGTGCAGAGAGATCAGATTACAGGTTTATTCCAAGTAAGGACTGGTGTCAGGCAAGGCCGATTATTATCGTCTTTTCTATCTCTTCTGGTTGCTGACCGCATCGCGAAGACCTCCAGATATCAGCGGCCTATGGAGAGACAGGAATCTAAATTTATAAGGGAAAAGCAAGTTCCTAAAGTAGGACACAGTGAGCACTGAACGGGGTAAAATTGATGGTAAAGCTTTAAATGATTTAGAGGGCTTTACGTACTTTTGGAATTGTGTTGATAAATTTAGAGGACGTGAAGGCACGAATTAGCAAATCAGGGGTACAATTTCTACAAATTAAGAATATCAAGGATTCAAGAAAAATGTCACTCAAGTCAAAACTTTCAACATTGCAACCATTCTATAGTAGTACAAAGCCGAAACTTGGAGAACTACCAAGACCATCACTAAAAATGTACAAGTATTTGCACACAGCCATTTACGTAAGACGATCCAGACCCATTAGCCAAAGACATATAACAATAACCTACTCCGTCAAATTAAAACCAGCTGCAAGCTGAGGACGAAATAAGAAAGATACAGAGAGTGGATAGAACACATCTTAGGGAATCCATTAGATTGTATCACAGGACAAGCCCTAACTTGGAATGCTTACGAAAAAATACAAAGATAAACCAAAGAACACATGGTGTTGGTAATTGGATATGGACATTAAGATAATGAAGGGCAGATGGCAACAACTGGAAAAGAGTCCAAGACAAAGTTATTTAGAGATCGTTGGCGGTTACGCCCCAAGACACGAATGAACGAACGAAAAAGAACTTATTCAAACTTCTATCGCTAAGATTAGGTGTTTCAAATTATTTTGAATTGGATCATCAGAAATACCAATCGTATATACTCACGCATCACTATAAAAACGACATGGTTGAAAACTTACGATTTCACCAGTTGGCATAGTCCAATCACCACGCCGTACTATACCAAACGAACCAATACCGATTCTTGAATGAAGTTTGATGTCTTTTTCAGGAATAAGACAGGCAAATGACGTTGAGTTAGTAGCAACGTCCTGACGACTATTTTGAGAGAAACTAGTAGGACAGTAAGACTGATTTGTAGATTGATGTTCCAGTTTGTGTGCTGGAGATACTGGAGCACTAGTATAGGATTGTTTCCCTCTAAATAGCTAGAAAAATAATACCAAAATTTATCTACAGAACCCAGCGTAGCCGGTTACCGTTATTCATTCAGTAAAAAAGTTGTTACCTAGAAAGTAAGAGTATGTATGAGAAATCAGGCGGTTTAGAGGTATCGAGAGGAATCATGACTAGCGTTCTTCAGAAAACCGTAGCCAGAATTCAAAGGGAAATTACGAAATTTTGGAGGCTTGAACTCATGTCAGTTAGAAACTTAATAGACTTAACTGCTAGGCTATTGAGTAGCAACTGACCTCCTGAATGACTGGGATGATTGCATTTTTATTAGGGATAGCCCAAGAGTTTTCAAATTATTCACACTATGATAGTAAGTAGCATATTCTAGTTCGTTATTTGGATGTCCACAGGTGAATTTCCAAAAGGTTTCTCGCTTAGTTAAACATACGTACAACCTCTCTTAACAAGCTCTAATATACACTCTTACGGGCCACTTCTTTTATTGTGATCAGTATTATATATTTTATCACAATTTACGGAAACGAAGACTTCATTCAAAAAATCTGAGACTAGAAAATAATATAAAGGTTGCTCAGATATTTTTCAAGTACTATTTACAGTATCATTCTCGATCTCAGCAAAAACAGAATTATAAATCTATTCGTGTGATGTTTCCCAGGACTTGAATTAGATACTTAGCGTTATCTATTCAAATATTGGAGCCGTCATGTGCATCAGTTTATTTCGGATTCATTGAAAAGTCAGGAAGTCACTCTTTTACTTGCCTTAAACAACTTACGATATAAAACAGCTTTACTACAATATAGTAAAGTCTGAACCAATTTATCGAAGACTAAACAGGAGTAGCATAAAACGTTTATATCAGGTAGTCTAGCGGAAATCGTAACAAACGACACCAAATAAAATTTTAATAGTCCTGACGGACAGTTACTTACTTTACGCAACAGTTTTAACCTGTGAAAATCAGTAGCGGAATATGGTTTGGAATCTGACCATGAATAGGAATAATTTGTGTATCCATCTGACAGGAAATTCCCCACCGGAAACCCATCTTCTATTAGCTGATTGGCAAGTCGGTTGATTTCATTTTCTGTCATTCCGAGACAGGCTAGATCAGTAGGTTTTACCCGGTCGAAATCTTCAGGGCTAAGGGATTAGAACGAAAAGTTTGTAATAGTCAACAGTCTATGGTACAAAATTAAGATGCATGTACTATATTTTAAAATCAGACCATTGTAAAAGTTGTTATAACGAAACAAACAAGATTATATTACGAAACTGCTGTTATTTAAGTAAAAACATCATTTGGAAGAAAACTGAAGCGGGAATTAACTGAATATGAGGTGAATAATGGCTGTCTATGCTTAGGGAAGATAAAGAACTATTCAAAATATATAACAACAATGAACATTTTCTACTATGAACAGGATTTTAAATGTAAACCTTATCTACACTAAATTCGGTTGGAAAAGACACTGCGATTCAAGAAATGTAAGTTGCTAACGATATATGAAGGAAGTGTGAGTTTTCAGTTTGCAATGTGATACCAGTATTTATAATGTTAATAGACAGGCATAACAAATACAAATGGTGGATCATAGTGAAAATTTAATTGAGAATACTAGGATCAAGAAATATGAGCACTTACAAAGGAGAAATAGTGGTTTTAAAGACGACAGTAATAATAAGGTAAACCAGAAAAAATAACTCCGCCTATAGCCCTTCTAGAGTTATTGCAGATTCCAAGCCTGGGAAAAAGAGGAGGGTAGAGCATGGGTTCGGCAACATCATCCGATTGAAAATTAGCTTGCTAAAAAAAGCTAACAAGATAAATTATTCAAACCATTTATCATGCCTCATGATGGAAGCCGAATTTCTCTTGAAGTCATGAAGAACCTTCTGACTACCAAAACACCCGTTAAGTACATGTAACGTTTACACAATATAAGAGACCAGAATGACTATTCAAGTTGCTACGGAAATGAATGGATAAAACCTGGTGGTGCTTGAAATAAGTGAAGTGCATTGGAGACGGGTTGGACAAAAAATTAGGTTCAGAAGAGCGACAGTCAGTTACAACGCAAAACTTCGTATATGCTTACATAAGCTCAGGTTGCCATACCACACTAGCACAGAGATGCAATTGTCAATTCAAATCCCATAGTAGTAGAGGTAAAAGTGTTAGCAGTAATCGGAAATTTTAGGGTTCGATGATATTATTCAAGAAGTAGAATCTAGTGAAACGACTTAAAAGGAAAAACACAAGGGTGATGAGGAACTCTGAAGGATAAGATCTGAGAGAACAAAGAATGAATGCGACTGCGCCATTGCAAATGGTTTTGAGCCATGTCATTCAGGGTCTCTAACCATCGATTATTATCATCTCGCGGACCCCAACCAGGTAGTCGACAACTACCGACATGACTCAGTCCACTTGTCAGTGACTTCATGGATTTCTGGCATATTTTGGTTTGGCCGCCCCTAGATTTCTTCCAACTTACTCCTACACCACGAAACATTGTAGCACCATATCATTCAAACTGCTTAATCTTTATTCCATGGCAGTCACTTACTCATACACGGTAACGCATCCCTCCAGTGGTTAACTCTAGATTTGCACATCAAATCTCTCTACAGAAATAATAGTTGTGGTTGGAATTAATTATTCAAAGTACCGGAAAACAAAAATGTGATGTTGATTTCTGGAAAAACATTAGGCCAACATAATTCGAAGTCCTTAAATCATGAAGTCCTGCTTACTCAGTTACTTTAGTCGATATATCATCATTCTTATCGGGTCTGTTAAGCTATTGAAATAGTTCTATTTTTATCAGTTCAGGTGTGATGTATGTGTAATCTAAAGGTCGGCCAAGCTTTGAAAAGATCATTCTTCACATTCTTAATAAAGAATGTGCATTTTATGTCCACGAGCAAACTAAGCTTCCTTCGTCTGCGTAATTTTATTCGGATTTCTAGTCTTCTTAATTTGTCTCTTCTGTAACTCTCAGTTTATCCCTCAACCTTGATCATAATTTGTAAGGTCTTAACTGATATTTAATGTGTTACTTTCGTTTCATTTTGGAAGCGATTGATGTATTGATCATTAGTCGATTCAATTCATGTGAGACGAACTAAATCGCCCTGTAAATTGTTGGACAAATGCAAGAAGCTTTATCAACATTTGTCTGTGACATCAGTAGTTCAATATATAACCGTGTACAAAGTTTCGGATTATACTTCAATGGTAATACTTACTAATACTCATAGACCAACTAATTAATACTGGGCGACTTTTGAAGCTTCAGTGTAGTTGTCAAAAGCTTACTGACCGAATTCCGAGCTCCATCACCAAAACATGATGGTTTTAGAGATGGAAGTTACATAAACGATTAGTGATCGGTGTTAAATATTATGATTGCAACCACTAAATCAAAAACATTGCAGGCTCACTATGAAGCCAGTTTACTATTAGTTTTTACATGCAGCTGGGGCTTTCGTGTAAATGAAACTTCATTTCCTTTGGTCGCACCCCTTCCCCTAATAGAGTACTTGAAGTGCATCATATACTCCCACCGTCTCTCTTCCGACTGTAGGTTCTACCCTGACGTGATGGTCCAACTTGCCTATTGTGGTGACCCAACCGAGCTATATCGGCTGGAACAAATGTGCTTGTAGGTTTTACAATGTAAGGCAGGTCGGTTGAAGAACGATGAGACTAAAAACAGCTACTCAAGGTCTGAGGGCTGTAGAAGGGTATGACAGCAGTAAGGTGTTTACCTCGGATAACCAGCATCTGCAGTCAGTCAGTCAGTCAGATGCAACGTAGAACTTTGTACATAAGTACATCAGTTCATGTTGCCATACCACATCAGCACAGAGAAGTAATCGTCAATTCAAATCCAATAGTAGAAGAGGTAGTAAGGGAATTAGAAATAATCGGAGAGGTTAGGATTAGAAGATACTACTCAAGAAGTATGATTCAGTGAGAAAAGTTTAGAGAGTCGAAACTAGAGGGGTTGAAGAATCCAGAAGATTAGCATTTGAGAGAACACAGAGAATAAATGCACTGGCGCCATTGCGAACGATTTTGAGCCATGTCATTCAAGGTCTCTAACCATCGATTATTATCATCTCGCGGACCCCAACCAGGTAGTCGACAATTACCGACATGGCTAAGTCCACTTGTCAACCGTTGTCACCCGGCTGCCCACACCGTGGAAGGTTGCTTCTTGAGGAACCTGAAAAGGAAGATGGATTAGTGTTGGTGCGTGACCGCAGAGCCCAAGGGACAACTGCTTGAGGCCGGTCACGCACGGCCTTTTTATGAAACGTTTTTTGAGGATTAGCTCCGTTCTTAAAGGCCCTTAGTGGGCACCCTTACCCAAGGAGACGGAAATCCGTGAGTTAGGGGGAGTGTGACATTTTTAGGGCCGACCTTTTCTAACCCTTCCTTCCTTTTGAGAAGGCAGCATCGCTGCAGATGCTGGTTGTCCGAGGGAAACACCTTACTGCTGTCACACCCCTCTGCAGTCAGCAGTACGACTTCGCCCTCAGACCTTGGGTAGCTGCTTTTAGTCTCATCGTTCTCCAATCGACCAGCCTGGCATGGTAGGACCTGCAGGAACATATGTTCCAGCCAGTATAGCTCGGTTGGGTCATCACGATAGGCAAGCCCGACCACCACGTCAAGGTAGCAGCATCTGCAGCAATGCTGCCTTCTCACAAGGCAGGAAGGCATTAGGAAAGCTCGACCGTAGAAATGTCACACCTCACCTTACCTCACGGATTTACGCCCCCGGAGGTAAGGCAATTTAAACAAGAGCGGAACTGACACTTTAAAACTTCTCATAAAAAGGCCGTGCGTGACCGGCCAGAAGCAGTTGGTGTATGGTAGGTTGGAAGAAAGCTAGGGGCGGCCAAACCAAAATATGCCAGGAATCCATGAAGTCACTGACAAGTGGACTGAGCCATGTCGGTAGTTGTCGACTACCTGGTTGGGGTCCGCGAGATGATAATAATCGATGGTTAGAGACCCTGAATGACATGGCTCAAAACCATTTGCAATGGCGCAGTCGCATTCATTCTTTGTTCTCTCAGATCTTATCCTTCAGAGTTCCTCATCACCCTTGTGTTTTTCCTTTTAAGTCGTTTCACTAGATTCTACTTCTTGAATAATATCATCGAACCCTAAAATTTCCGATTACTGCTAACACTTTTACCTCTACTACTATGGGATTTGAATTGACAATTGCATCTCTGTGCTAGTGTGGTATGGCAACCTGAGCTTATGTACGTATGTACGAAGTTCTACGTTGTTGTTGATTGATGGGATTGACTAGTTATGAGGTAAAAATGATATTTGTAAAAATGACAAAGTGGGACTCACTGATTTATCTTTAATTTCTTCTTAACATCATTGTAGAAATTTATAAGGTGAGCACGTTCAAGAAATACAGACAACTCACATCGACCTTAAGCAGTTATAAAAAAAATAAATGAAATACCTGTCCATGGATAGTAAACCTTTTCAACCATCACCAAAATTTTGATGAAATAAGCTGTTTGAACGTGATTTCGAAGTATTAGTTGATATTTGGAAATATCTAAACACAGAATACGAAGATGAATGACAAATATACATTTACGTCGTGAAAGTATGGAAATATTCTCGGCAAAGGTTCTAAAGTTATCACCATCAATAGAACTTCACACTGAGAACAACTAATGATGGTAGTTTTCATAATACCAAATTACTGATGTGTAAACGTGAAGTATTCAAAAACCAACTGAAGCCAGGTCTAATGTTGACCTACAAGGCTTTTCTAATCCTTTCCGAAAATCAGTTTTCCTGAAACAAATCAAAGCCAGTAGTCTGGAGTAAATTTGAGTTCTAGTAGAAACTCTAGTCTAAAGATTTTATTAAAATCCAAGGCGTCCACATTAAATTGTTATACTATCATTATATCCTTGTTTTTGAGATAGAATTTAATAAAAAACTAAAATGACTAACTGGTCAGCGTTAGATTCATACTGTTGATTAGGAGTGCCGGTCAGTGTTAAGGCATGCTGAGAATGTAATTTTTGGTGATATATATTTAAACTTCTTGAGATGTATAATATTCTGAATTGTCAAGTTTTTAATAAGATTTATTACTATAATAAAATTCAGGTTTGTCATACACAATCAACACAGCTTGGTACACATGTGTATCAGATCAACTCAGCACAAAACATATAAAAACTGAAGACAATTTGACCGGTTCTTAATATTTTAAATTTTACTGAAAACCCATATGGTTAGCAAAAGGTTGGTAAGTCTGTAGAGGACACATTACTACCACGACTGCTAGCATCAGAACTGCGGTTCTCAACTCTTCAGTATTAAATCTTAATAGATAGCAATGAACTACATGAATGAATCGTCCTACATGGAACTCATCAACTGGACGTACCTACATATCAGTGTTAAGGCTCAGAGTGCCATTTTTAAGGAGTTTAGTGGTGAATAAATAACCTTAGTATGAGTTAACAGGTGATGCTCTAATCAGAAACTTTTAAAGAGGCAAGTCACTAAAAACGAACTCCTTATTCACATTACATTGCTTAAGAAATCAAGACATTACAACTGTATTGAATGATTGGTTTTCACAATTAGGAAACCGAAGACTATACAAAAATTTTCAGCCTTTTTTCACCACCCTATATTTGTAAGGATGTATGGAAGATATGATGAACCTTTTAGAAAACGATTGATAACCTTGCGAAAGCGATGCGACTATAAATGTCTTTTTTCATGTGTATGTTTTCTTATATCAAGCTCTGGCATTCGATGAGAAAGCAAATTAAAACATCGGAAAGTTCATAATCTGTGTAAAACTATGAATACATCTAGTTTGAATAAAAGCTTTTGTATCTTATTTAGTAACTTGACAGAGGCTGTTGCAGACGTTGCTTGAAACTTTGTATGAACAGCATTGAAAAATACGCAATTCACAAAGCAATCCATTACAGATCTCTGAAGATAACATGTATTCTGAACAACGAAATCAACACAAGTTCAGCATCTTTATAACTTTATTCGCGAGGACCAGCTTCCCAAAGCTCATCCAAAACCATCTTAATTGCCTATTATGAGGCCTCTGTTTGAACAAAATAGCTATGGTTTTTTGTTTACGCGTATTCCACAAGAAACATGATTTTATTTTGAAGCTCTTTAAAACTGTTTCAAACGCTGTAATGTGCTTTAAAGTGAAAGAAAAAAATTAATCTACCGACGAAGTGGTGAAGTAAGTATTCTGAAGATTGCTAAGAGTAATTCCTCATTCGGTTGCGAGCAACTTCCAGTACACCGCTTCCAATATCCAATATCTTTTTACACGAGCTAGTGTAAACCAATTGCTTTCGTTGCGCTCGATTCTTGTTCTTTCGATACGGTTCCAGGTATCTCAATAGATAAACTTCAAACTTTGTCTAACGTAATATAAAACTTAATATTTCCAAGGTTCCCCATGTCATGTACAATACGATGTATCTAAGGCTCAATTTATATAGACACAAAAACCAGTACAGTGTTCATTAGTACGATGAATGTAAGAAAACAACTAATATACTGTTTGTCTGGATGAGTCATTTACACTCGCCCGACGTCGTTTCACTATGTCAAGACTCGTAATAACATCACTGTACCTGTATTTAATCCAAGTTCATGTTTGTACAGTCTGAAAACTGCTCATGACCTCTTGCCAAATCATCTAATAGTCAAGTCAATCAATCTTAAAATTTACCTGTAGACATCATGAAAAAGGACAGCAGATGCACATCAATGATTTGCATGGTCTAGTTAAACCCGTTCCCGCACACTGCGCAATTAGAAATGCATGAGAGACTGTGTAGAAGGTTTTTGAAAAGACAACAAATTTTCATGTATATCAGTATTCTCGGTACTAGAAGGATGTGCGATCGTCCTTTGCTTTGATATCAATGGATGCGCGCAACCTGCCTTTCCGAAACCCGTTATTTGCTTCATGAAGTGTTTTCTTCTTATCCATGTACTCCTTCATCTGTCCGTTCACCAGCCCTTTCATTACCTTCGATAGTATTGGTAGTAATGAAAAATGGTCTCGCACAGGCTGAGTCCTTCTTATCTCATCCTTTGAAAATCGGAGAGAGATAAGCTTGGTTCCATACAAGTGAGGGTTTATGTGACTCTAGTGAATGGCTGAACAGGTCACATGACGGTAAACTGACGGCTTCTGCACACTGTTTCAAGACTATGGGACGAATATTGTCACAAGCTAGTGACTTTCTAGAATGCTAGGAGTTTAATTTAATCAGAAATAGGTTTGGAGAAAGTCCAATATTACCTAAGCCTTCAAGCGGTACTATGTTGAACAGTACTCTGAATGTGTTGGTACTTGGTTTAACTGGTTGGTGAAGTTGGTATTGAAAGTCACATCCGATTTTGGGTTGGTTAGTTCTTGACCATTTGGACCATTGAGGAAACACACATCCTGGTTCGTAGGTTTTAAATTTATCATCAATCTAAACAGGGTCTTAGGGTTTGCCTGTATTTGGACAGCTAGCTTCAAATGAAAGTGTCTTATATAAGTTCTAACTTTGGTAAAGTGAATGTTTCTAATTGACGAGTAGGAACTACGGTTGTAATACTTCAAAGAAACCTTCGAAAAGTACCGAGTTCTCGTTTTCGCCGGCACCAGGCGTTCAGTGCTTTGCTCAACGTAAGTTCTACTATTTCCACAATTTCCGTGGCTACTAGGCATGTAGATGTTCTCTCACGCACGTAGAATTCACCACAGTGCAGCGAAGGAAGAGATTGTTTCATTTATGACCATGTTAAACCATACTGTACCATGGTCACTACCTCTGATTGGTGTATAGATGTAAACATCACCAACTTGGTGCTAATCATTTGTTAAAAAATAATCCAATTTTGAGGATTTTCACTTCTTAGTCCATCTAGTGTCGATGCCTACATGCTCAGTCATTTAGAAGCTTCCAATGGCTACGCCAAGTTGTCGTTGGCAATTTACAGTGAGAGAAGTACCTTGTTTGGTAAGTTTTAGATATTAGTTGTTGAAATCTCCGGCTAAGAGTATTTGGTCAAACCAAAGGAGTGGCAGTTGCATTTCATCCTCAGTAAGTTTATCTTTCTGGGCATTAGTATCCGAGGAGGGGGACGGTAAATCCGTCCAATCAAGCATTTTGTACCATTCGTGTGGAATCAACAATAACATGATTCTGTGATATCGGTTGGTTGACTTTCGTGCAGTCTCTCGGCTTTTAAATGGCTCCTCCACACCCTCTCTTTGTTCGTTATCACTTCGGAAGACTGTTATGCCTTGCAAGCCCTATACATCGTCTTCAGTATGTGTATATAGCCATGTTTCTGTTAGGATTAAGATCTACAGATCAGACATTCCTGATTTCCAAAAGTTTGCCCCTGAGTCCTCCTGTGATTCTACAGACGTATTTTCTGCTTTTTCTCATTAGCTCGTTCGCCTTAGCAGTAACAGCTGTTGTCGGATTTTCGAACAGGCTTCTAATGGAGATCTAGAAATACTTAATTCAGAAGTTCTCTGTGAAACAACAATCTCCAAAATTTTATAATGAGAACGTTACACTTTACTTTGAAAAGTGGCCTTTCAGTTCAGCTACCATAACATTTCTAAGATGTACTGATAATTCGCTGTAAACAACAACTGGTTGCGCAACTATATTTTATTGTGTACGGTGGCTAAAAAGCTTGATAAATATGACAGAACAACTGTAAAAAGGAAAGCTTACCTATCTCTTGTTAATTATTTGTTTTTTCTGTCCTTGTACTACAGTTGCAAAGTCTCCTTGAAATCTTCGCTAGGTTTTACTACTGTTCAAACTGACAGGTTGCATACTGCACAAAAATTATTTTGGTCGTCTAGGTCAATTACAAGACGGCTCTACACAGAGGTTTTTTATATCTGAGTACAGAAACACGCATCTGAGACACGTAGTTTTATGTTCACCTATGTTTTAACGGTTGTGGGAAACTCACGAAGGCATAAATGCTACTACATTAGGCTTGTTCAAAAACATGCGATTTGCATAAGCCATTCCAAACACTGAATGACTGCATCTAAACGAGCTGCTCAGTTACTGAGACAGAAATGTGCTCTCTTGGTTACTGATGAAATTATACGTGTGCATTAAAAAGAGGCAATAGTGCTTATTAAGTACCCATCCGAACATGTTTACTGAATGAATTCTATTGAGTATTAATATTTTCGAAGTTGATGCTGACCTAGTCAGTTCGAGCGAACACATACTATTTGAAAGCTCTCGGTCATTCATCCACAACAAATCCACGAGAGGCACATTGTGCTATACATCTCATCGAATCAGTTGGAGAAATTAGTTCACTCGTTCCTCGAATGCCTAGACCGGCCATTAACTATGCCTTCTATCTTCCACATTTCGACTAATTTCTCCAATTTACTCCAGGTAAACTTTATCTGAATGGTGCTACAGAAAAGCGTTTTCACCCTATGAATATCTGATTTCTTCAGGGTGATGTTGGATGCCTACCTCATCAAATGATTTTGAGCATAAATAAGTGCAACTGTAACCCAAGATCCTCAAAGCGACATAAGAAGAATATTTAATGTAATTTGAACTTACGTATTTAAACAATTCCTTGATCCTTCTAGCAGGCTATTTGCGATTATCTAATCGATTTTCGTAAACTTTTGGATTTCAATTCTTTATGAGCGTTAGTGGTTCAAATTATGCAAAAAGAGTCCAGTTGTACAAAGAAAGGAACTCCATCGTAAACAAATAATTTAGCAATACCAAAAAGGACGAATAAAGCTTCAAATTTAACAAGGTTTAGAGTTTATAATTATGAACTGACTATTATGCAAGAAGATAATTGTCAGAATCCAATACCTATTTTAACACCTCGTTTTTATATGCTAATAACTAAACGTCGTCATGGTGCGAGTAGTGTGTCTTTGAAAAATTGGTCTGTTCATTTTTGCAGTCGTGACATTGACTGTAGTAGTTGCATACAGGTAAATGCGAGATATGGTTCCAGAAATCATGTTTAATTTGGTTGATTCTACTTAATGTATCAATAAACGGTAACTACCATTTATTTAGTCAGGATGAAAAATATGAGTTATGTTGCTTGAGGTTCCCCTTATTTGCAGGTTCGTTCAGATTTTTCGTGATGATTATCATATTTAATCATCGCAGTGACCTTTTGTCGCGACAATATTACTTCTTGAGTTCAAGCAATTATAAAGTTGGTTTCATTTTGAGCATTTACCTCATCTTAAGAGAAACTTTAATCACAATAAATTGAACATTGTTATCACATTGTTTTCCGTCAAACAAGAAGAGATTCATTTTCATCATATACTGAGGAGGAAAAAGTATATTTCGTTAGTTCATTATTGAGTCACGAGGATGGAGGTTGGAATGCTAAGATTAATCTTAGTTTAGTAATTACTAGTCCTTACGAGAACTTAAAAATTATTTTGAGATAAGAATTACTAAAATGAATTGCCTTTACATATATTGTGAAACCGTTAACGTTGTACTTACGATAAACTATCTGATCTTGATTATATCTTCATTAGTATTAGCTGAAGTCGAATGTATTTTTCTTTATCACCTATTGTATGTCTTGATGGATTTTACATTTTTTTAACAAAACTATTCAAAGAGCAATGAATGTTTGCGCTATCTAATAAAAGCCGTTACTGACACGGAACTGTAGTGTATTTTGTTTCAGTACAGTGTTTGTACCATAAGTTTTTTCAAAATATGAGGATAACGAGAAAGCAGTTAAACTGCTTTAACTACCATATTGAAAAGTGTTTTTTGAGAACTGAATATTCATGTGGTTTAGGAAATACTCATGGTTGCCTTCATGTTATAAAATTGATGAGCTTTCCATAAATAGTACTTAGTTCTGTAGGCTTAAGCTAAAGGAGAAGTTTGAGAGGCTAATGGAGTAATGTATTACAAACAAAAAGGGTTTTATTCTTTAGTTCTTTTCCATGTATGAAGAAAACGGGAAAAAATTTTTAAACCGTTCGGTTTGCTGTCCCAGAGATGCCTAATTTCTCATCACTTTAATTTTTAATTATGCAAACAGCAACGTTTTGCGGACTATTTGTATGGCAGTTTATAAGTAGCTGATAATAAATAAGTGAAGCCAAGCTTCCTGAAAGTTTTCCGTGGTTATTCGTATGAAAGTCCTCACTGCAGTTTAACGCAAACATTCAATGTTGACGCTTACCAACCAAGATAAAAGGAAGCTGCAGACTAGACGTTTAGGTGAAATCCTTTTCCACGAAAGAGAAATTAAACTAAGTATAGACATCACTTATAGAGGGGATGAAGAATGGAGGATGTCGTTGGTTAAAAACTTCTTCAATTTCAATCAGCTGTAGTCAGCGAAAATTTATTACTGAGATACGATTTGTTGCGCAAAATATCAGTAGCTATTGTGGCTTGTTGGCGCAGTATATTATGAAAAGTTGATTAAAATTTGCATTTTTTTGAGAGTGATCTTTCATCGCATCTGAAAGTAGCTTACTTTTTCTGAGAAATAAGAAAGCTGTTGGTATAGATATGGAAGGCATGGAGTATTACTCTTCGTTGGATTACTCTAAAACTGTCCGTACATTTGAAAGTGAAGCTGAATGTGTATTGTCGTTTGCCTTTTGACTTTGAATAAGAGCTGTTTCATTTGCTGAGACAAATAAAAATGATCTATGTGAGAAATATAGACCTTATGAAATTTCATAGCTGTTAATTCTTCAACCTAAAACTTTTGGTTTAACGAGAATTTCAGTCAGACGCATTCTCAATTCTCAAAAAGCATTTATCATAAAAAAGAATCAGCGTTCCCACATATGTACATTTTTAGCAATATTTCTCAGTTTCTGCTATCATGTTTCTAGGTGTAATATAATACTTTATTTCTAAACTCTGTTTGAAGTCACAAATGATGTTCGCAATAAAATTCTTTTCCGTGTCCTAGATATCAATAATCCCTACTCAGTGAAAAAGTACATGCAGTTTGATATTTCGAAACGTTTATTGATCATTGGAATGCTAACATAAAAATCTCAATAGTGCTCCTGACTTATTTATATATGTAGTATTGATACGGCTTTTGGTCATGCTCACTTCATTCCTACAGTGAAAATGAATGGTGGGACAATAAAAAACGAAAGTCTATACAATCATTTTGCATCTAACAACTCTTCTTTAGAAATGGAAATAAGCAATAATAAAGTAAATTCACTGCTAAATATTACTCAGTATGAAGAGAAACAGAACAAAATTCGAAGAGAAAACCCATCAATTACAAAAGATAGCATTCCATTGCATCTTAGTAAAGTTTCATTAGGACAGAATAAATCACAAACTAATAACACTGGGAACAAATTATGCAGACCAAGAACCAAGGGAAATATCAGCCCATCGGCACATTATAGCTTAAACCTTGAAGCTCAAATTAATCCTCTGAAAATTCGAAACCGAGCAGCTGCATATGGAGGTGGTGTGGGTTTTAATGGAGTTTCTATTGATTCAATTTCCACCAGCTATACAAATGAACCACCTAACCTTCCGGTTTCTATACATGAGTCCATTAGTACTTCGTACGTAAACCCTACGTCGAACAAAATGATAACAATATGCCTAACTCCGGAAACGGCAATGAAATTGTATGTTCATAGACTTAGTGCATATGAGCACCATGAAATACTGAACTATCCTAATGTATATTTTGTAGGCCATAATGCAAAGAAAAGAAATGGAATTTTGGGGACAAGAAATAACTGTGGTTATGATGATGATCAAGGTTCCTACATTCATACAGCACATGATCATGTTGGCTATCGTTATGAGATTTTAAAAATACTCGGAAAAGGTAGTTTTGGACAGGTTGTCAAAGCCTATGATCATAAAGATGGTGTTTATGTTGCATTAAAAATTGTAAGAAATGAAAAGCGCTTCACAAATCAAGCAGCTGAAGAAATCCGAATCCTTGAACAACTGAAAAAGCAAGATATAGACAATAGCCATAATGTTGTGCATATTTTCGAGCATTTTACTTTTCGTGGTCATGTCTGTATAACGTTTGAACTGCTAAGTATGAATTTATACGAACTTATCAAGCGAAGCAAATTTCAGGGATTTCCCCTTCAGTTAGTTAGAAAATTCGCTCATTCAATTCTGGTATGTCTGGATTTGTTGCATAAAAATAAAATCATTCACTGTGATCTAAAACCGGAAAATATATTGCTCAAACAACAAGGCAGAAGTGGGGTTAAAGTGATTGATTTTGGTTCAAGCTGCTACGAAAGTCAGCGTTTATACACTTACATTCAATCAAGATTTTACAGAGCTCCTGAAGTGATCCTTGGGTGCAAGTATGGACTACCTATTGATATGTGGAGTTTCGGATGCATTTTAGCTGAATTACTAACAGGTAAACGTGATTATTATGATGATTGTTCAATACTTTCTAAGCGCGGAAAAATATCATGGTGGCTTTTGAAGAGAATTATGTTTGATCCATCAATTAGGATGCTAATGCGGGTTCATTGTTTATACATAGACTTTTCCCGGATGGGTAAAACTTATTAAATCAGTTAAAATAATCAATCATTTAAATAGTAGAATGGCAATCGATACAAGGAAACGGGTTTAAAGTGATCTATTGGCTTCATCTTACATTATATGTGTAACATCTTTGTAATACTAAAGTGCTCCCCTCGTCGCTGGTCTACAATTTGTCAGAAAATGTACTAAACGAAAGTAAAGGGTTCAGAAGCTAGATACATGCAACTGCGTAAGTAAATCCAAGCATAAATTCTTGATTGGTCAAATGTTTAGGTGCTCATAAAAAATGTTATTAGAAGATTTGTAGAAGATGGACATCAAAAGTAATAATAACTGAATATACTTAAGTGATGCCTGACCTAAAATATCAAGCAGTAATAAGGTTGCAATGAAATGTCAGCGTAAGTCTGACAGCATTCAAAGTTTTATTTGTATGGTCACAAAAGTCAGAAATGGAGCATTCTCTCTGGGGTGTAACTGACTCCAACTCAATGCCATAAAAATGTGGCATAAAATATATTGAGTCTGTATAATTTTAAAACTAAAACATTACTCGCTTGCTTTGTGTACATGTATTTTTATGGACTTGTAGTGGTGAATGACCCATTAAATTGATGTGACAAACCTGTTCTTACTCTTGTTTTTAGGTGCACCCATATTTCCAGGAGAAGATGAAGGAGACCAACTTGCTTGTATAATAGAACTGCTTGGGATGCCACCCCAAAAGCTGCTAGGTCAATGTCGAAGAGTGAGGAATTTTTTCTCAGTAACGTATGGATATCCAAGATACTGTATGGCTATGGATGGCAATGGCTGTGTCGTGCTTCGTAGTACTAACAGCAAGAAGGGAAAAGTGAGAGGCATTCCGGGAAGTCGATCATTAGTAACAGCCCTGAAAGGTTGTGAAGATAAGGTTTTTCTTGATTTTATTAGGAAGTGTTTACAGTGGTTACCAGAGGAACGCATGACACCCCGAGAGGCTTTCAAACATGAATGGCTTCGCAGGAAACTGCCAAAACCCCCTGAAGTTAAGAAAATGACGTCTATCGTATCGAGTCCCAGCACAACGACTGGAGTTAATCATACTACACAATTACCATCTAATATTTCAACAACTATTCACGCTGCGTCCAATACAACTACGAAAATTATAGTTAACACAGCCGAAAGTTTAAAAACATCTGAAAAAGTTATAAGTAGTATTCCAAAGACCGAATATGTTACTAAGTTAGATAGTGAAGAGTGTGTACTTCCAGTTGAAAAAAGTTCTGCTCGTGAAGCTGTTCATATTTCATGTGACCCTACGAAGGTTAAAGACCCGTTATCTATCATAAGTACACCTACAACAAGTGAACCGACATCCATGACATCAGTTAACAAATCTGTGAGTCAAATGTACACTAACTCTGTAATTACCCTAGGAAATAAAAAAACAACAACAATCACAACTGAATCACTTCAAAATAAGGGTGAGAAAAGATTTATAAGAGATAATACAGTATGTGCTGATAATATAAGACCATCTGAACATAAAGAGCGATAGAGTGAAACTGATATCTAGGTAATATTCTGTATGTACTACTGTAACTTCTTCATAAACAACAACGTTCCTGAAAATTGACTTTCAGAACTCTTTCTCCGGGTAAACACATTTTTTTCGAACAGTTTTTTTGAGAAAAAGATGTAGTGAAAAATTCTACTATTTTAATTTTCTTTAGTGTAAATCCTGGTTTCATTTCCTTTTTATGATTAATTTTTACCCGGGTGTATTTTGATGACAATTTTCAAAAAAAAGTGAGAATTAATTTTTATAAATCTCACTAACATTTATTTTTTTTTTACAACTTTGTTAATTTTTAACTGATGGAAATGACCTCAGTAATAATCACAATAATTAAGAGTTGTGATGATAGTTATAAAATCATTGCCTAGATTTATGTTTGTACATACATATTTATTTGTCAGACTTTCATATGTATTACATGGAAAATTGTTGAGTTGTATCCCAGTGATATTTTACCATTTTTACGCTGGTGGTAAAAACCTAACATTTGGCTTTTAATAATGTTTTAAGCCTTATTATTCTGTAAAAGGTAGATGATATAACATTAATGTTGGTGATGATTATAATAATCACTACTGTAAATGAATTACTAAAGATATGGCTACATTTGTTTAATTTCTAAACAATCTTTAAATGATTTTAGCGCCCAGGTGCGAAAACCAAGTCAGATTGAAAAAAGCTGGGTCTTTTGGTGTGCTGGCACCGAACACAGAATTTTTCACAACCTTCTAGAATATTGATTAAAAGTATTTCATTTTCACCATGTTAATGATACAACAACTCGGCAGTTTTTGATGACAGTGACAATAATTCAGTTATGCTGTCACTGTATGCTGAAATCTTTAAAAGGACTAAAAATACTTACTTCCTTTCAAAACTATTGGGAAACACACAATTAATGAATAGTATTCATTCGTAAACTTAGTGACACTCCATATAAAATTCATGTGTATACTTTGAGGCAGGCGCACAGAATGGATAGTAATTGTTCACGGCCAGGATGGTTTCTCAGAATGCATGCAATGATATCGTATAATCGAAAATAATAACATTTATGCCCACCTGATACGTGATCAGATAGCAAAGGTAATAAGTAAACAGAAAATAATTTGCAAATAGGAATTTACAAATTAATTCCTTCCCTAAATATCACTGATTTTACAAACCTGACATTTACCACTGTAAACAACTTATCGGTAGCAAATAATTTTTCTGATCTAAAAAATTAATACCATCAGACTAACTACGGGATGCATTCAACATCAGTTTCACCACTTCAGAACATACAACCTAATTAAAATAATTCAAACTATAGAATAACTTAGGGAATAATCGAGATTATTAATGCAAGCTACGGTTAGTTTAAACTGGCTTAAAAAGGAATTAAAATTTATTGCAGCTGTATTTATAGTATATGATTTGGAATAAAAAAGCTATTAGGTGTATTTAAACGCTCATTTCCGATCAATCGACAAGCTATACTGATAACAGTTATGCAGTTTACGTTGTTTTACCAGAAATTCATAATTAACCACACTAGTTACAAGGTCAAACAAAAGCGCGTACGTAACTCACTTAAACTAGTAGGACAGAAGATAAACAAGTCTATAAGAAACTCGTATGCATATGCGATTATACTTTATACAATTATGATGAGGAGAAAATGCAGCTTTGTAAAGTGAATTATATCATAACGTCAAAACAGCGATTGGGAGTTTCAAAGTCTTGATGTACTATTTTTATACGCTTTATACGTTCATTCATAAACAGGTGTACATTTTTGTGTTTCGAGAACCCCAGTATCACCAATAAATATCAAAAAGGGAAGGTAAGTCTTTGCATCATATTATTATTAGTACTTGAAAGTTAAAAGATATCTACATCAATCTTCAACTGAACGCATTGAACTTATGATAGCTTTTGTCTTCTTTTCCCGAGTATAGTCACTACAATAAAAAAATCAGTTATATATGTTATTTCTATTAAAACTTTTAACACAAAGTATAAAAATTAAAAAGTATGAGGTACGAAAGTACTGTTAAAGAAACTGAATAAACGAATCAACAGAAGCAGAGATTTTGAAGTATAGAAATTTAGGAGTTATATTTTTTAAGCTGGGTTAGAAATCACGAGAATTCCATGGATGACCTTGGATATGATAGATATGAATGTCGATAGTACAGCTTCTTGACTATCAGAAAACCTTAGAGATTGTGTTCAAATTAGAACAGATCACTCCATACACAGTTTCTTTTACTATCTTCAAGAGAGAAAAACTAAGATTAGTGTAGAACATATCTTGCAGCTAAATCGATTTTTTCTAAAACGAAATGTTCTTCAAGACAAAGGAGGATATGTATTTCCTTCACGACGCCACCAACTGTGTATACAAATTCACGAGTTTGAGAAAGCAGTTAAATTAATAATAACAGAAAGAAGGGCCTACATTGGATTAGAAAAATTTATTCCAAGAAGTGTAAGGTTAAATAGATATAAGGCATTTACGGGTACCACTGCGAGACAACTCGATACAGCAGCGGATACACCGGGATTGTCCGGGTGATTACTAAGCAATCAAATCCCCATCTTCTGAAATTTACCGAAGAAGTAATAAGTCTTTCTTAACCCTGGTAACATTACATCTATTTTATTGCATTACACTTTATATCAATTCTTTCTGACGCTTTGACCACATCATTTTCATTTTTCTTGAATCCATAAGTTTGATTATGATTGACTAATTTCACTTCACATTATTCTCTACCCGGTTGCTTCAATTTACAATCATTTAAGGTTTGCTAACTTTATGGTTCTTAATCACCAGTCCGATGTTCGTGAACTTACTCCCATACTTTATGTAACTGTAACATATTTTTATAACATTAACTTGTGACCTCCGCTACATCATGATATTTGCCTACGATCACTTTTGCATATATATATATATATATATATATATATATATATATATATATATATATATGAATTTATATTATTCCATACCAATCTTTGCTTTTGTTCTCTTCAAAATAGATCAACCGTATATTTTAAAGTTAGATTATCTACATTGGTTAAGAGTCTGACCGCAGACGAAATATCAGTTCAATGCATCTTTTTTCATCATCATGGAACGGGTGTAGTGGAGGTAGTTATATGATGACAATCTGTTTTAACTAAGTCATGATTTGAAACAGTGAGTATTTTAGGTGAATTTAGACAGTTTAGTTAGAAGACAGAACTTATTGAAAGTACATGATGTATCAATCATGTCAATTTCACTTTAGTACACTGTAAACAATCAGATGGAATACTACAATGTCAAAAAGGCTAAATCGGACATGCGGACATGAATCCCTTCAAGTTGCCATACCACATTAGCACGCAAAAATCGAATTATCAATTCGATTCCTGTAGTAGTAGAGGTAGTAGAAGTATTAGCCGCAATCAAAAAGATTAGTGATCAAAGATATTATTTTGGACGTATATCCCAGAAGAATCAATCTTTAAAAAAACAGAGGGGGGGAGAGAAAACTAGGTCATGCGAAAATCAGAATTTGAGAGAAGACAAAAAATAGATGGACTTGCGTCATTGCAAACGTTTTTGAGTCATATCAGTCAAAATTTCTGGTCACTGTTCACGATAACCAGGTGGACCCCAATCAGATAGTCTGCACCGACTAACATGGCTCAGTACAGTTGTAAATAAATTCGTGGACTGGAGCAATGTTTTTGTTTAGCCGCCCTTAGCTTTCTTTTAGCCTGCTCCTACATTGGATAGCGTCGCATGTCAATATGGCGGTTGGGCCTACGTAAAATATGTCCCAACCATCTAAGTTGATGAAATATCACCACCTGATCATTTGATTTCATCCATATCTACTACCTTTTTCCTAATCCTGAAATTGCTTGCTCGATAGTCCTAAGATATATGAATAATGCTCGAAGACACCCATGACCGAATACTAGTAGATGTCACTAAAATCTAATGATTTTCCTTAATCTTTTGTTTTAACCTACTGGTAGATAACACTGCAGTACTCATAGCTTTTTAAATATTATTCCAAGCTGTCTCGGCGTGGGCGTCATTTACATGGTTGGTTAACTTTTGCTAGTTGCTCTCGTAATATACTTTTATCTTTCTTGTCGTTTAGTGGAACTCTAAGGGATTTCCTTGATGTGCCTTTCCTGCATCCAGTAAGACGTAGACGAATAAGCGATTGTACTAGAGCATTATTCAAGTCTAAACAGTGGTTCCAAAACGAGCGACAGTCTTCCATAGAAACTCTCCATAGGTGGCTGGTAGCAGTGTGCTCTATTCGGGTTCAATGTTTAGTGTATTCTAGGGGGTCATCATATCAAAAGACGTTTTTCTTTATGCTTAAGGTTAGCACTTGTGAGAAAGAGGCGGTTATCTGAGTATAGTTACAGCAGACGGTCACCATTATCTGTTCTGTGAGTCACAACATCATAAGGTCTACCTGTGCGTCTTTTAGTTTCGCTTCGTCAACTTACATGGGCATTATAGTCAGCGGAAACTATTGCTACAACAAAGCGTCTAACCTTTTGAAGGTTGGAAAGTTTTCGGTAAAAATAATCTTTTACCATATCTGAGCTGCAGTCAGTGGGAGCGTAGGCAGATATGACGAAGAGGCAACGGTAAGTGTCCCTGTCTTTCCGAGTCCCTACTGTCCCATTTAGTCGGACAGCGCACAAGCGACTAACTTCTGGGATCCGTCCGATCTAGGAAAGCTAGTTCTTCCCTAGGACTCAATGCAATACCTACACCAGCGAGGCCACGGGGCGTAGCATCAAGGCTTCCAGAAACACGAAGAGTAAGTCTAGTTGCTTCTTTATTTTAAAATTTTGAGGTCAAATGAATAACCGTACTCGGATCCAGTATGCGCGTTTTGGAGACGCAGCATACATCGATGGGGAGAGATTCTAAAGTTCTAGGCAAGAAAGCCTGATGTCCTAGTCGGTCGTGAGGATAAGATAGCTGTTAAAAGATGATGGAAGGATTTGATTGAGAACAAGTTGATCTTGTGTGATTTTAGGGGTATGAGTGCAGTTGTCACTTCACGACTGCTTTTACAGTGGAAGGGTATTTTATGAGGGACATGAAAAGGAAGTTGGGTTAGTGCTGGTCTTAGTAACCTGGAAGCGTAACTGCAAAACCCAAGGGACAACTGCTTGAAGTCAGTCGAGCACAGCATTTTTATGTGACGTTTTTAATGTGTTAGATCCGCTCTTCTAAAGGCCTTACTGCTGGCAACGGAAATCTGTGGGATACGATGAGGTGTGGAATTTCTAGGGTTGACCCTTTCTGACCTCTTCCTTCCGTTGTGCGTAGGCAGCATTGCTGTAGGTGCTGGTAATTTGAGGAGAGCATCTAAATGCCATCACACTTCTCTACAATCAGCGGAACGACTTCACCCTCAAACCCCAAGTTGCTATTTCTAGTCGTAGCATTCTCTATCTGACTTTTCTGGCATGGTAAGACCTGAAGGAACATGTGTTCCAGCAAATATAGCTCGGTTAGGTTATCAGGATAGGCAAGTCTGACCATCATATTAAAATAGTAGCTGTGGTCGGGAATGAGGATTTTGAGTGATTAAGGACACTGACTCGAAATCCTTTGATTGATAATGATTTTATAGTTAGTCGAGATACTTCAGTAGGTTAGAGCCTTGATGATTTACGAAATATTTTTTCATTCAACTTATTTTTTTATATCCAAAAGGGAATATTCAAATAAATAGAAATAAATCACTAGCACTAGAAAATTGGTGGAATTGTGACACTGTTGAAAGATAACACTCAATATGCTATATAATTTCATAATACATAAAGTAAGTATTACCTCTTTTTAATAATATTTAATTGATGCGAAGCTAAAAATTGACCATCTTGACGAATAGCCCGCATTGCAGAACGTTTTTCTTTAGCAACTTTCCTCTGTAGAACTCGCTTGGTATTATCACGCTGCCTTACACATAATCTGGAAATAAATATTTCAGAACAAAAAATAAAGCCAAAAAATACCCAGCTTTCTGTTGACATATTTTAATTGATAAAATACTTTATGAACATGTTATGATAAAAAGAGATGGTGAAACAATATACATAGGACCAACAAGGCTATTTACATACTGCATTTACAGTATTGTATAACAGTGATTTATACTTAGTTGGAGGAAATCACACTTTCTCGTAACGAATCTACTGTCTGATACATATTTGGACAGTCGATAGTTGGTCACACTAATCACAGAAACTGGATATGTAAATTAATAGGTTGGAAAAATCATTGCAGAAAAAGTTGATACACTAATGAAGAAGCAGCAAAAATTATGCGTGCAAAGTTTTAAAAAAGCATTTTTTAACTAACTTTTACACACCTTTTAAAAAACCCATTAATGCCTTTAAGAAGATGTATTGAAGGACTAATATCACAGTACAACTATAAAACTGTTTAATTCTCAGCTACGGTGTTTCCTATGTGGAGTTTTCGTCACTGTGGTTACATAAAATGTTACAAATTGTACACGTGAAAAATTTTATCAGCTTCCATATCATTTATATCTATGAGGTTCGGTTTTCCGATGTGCGGTATATGTACTTTGAAAATTAGAAACGATTAGTTCGACGTTTATGAACACCAATTCTACGAGCTTATTCATTTGATACATGTTTAAAAAATGTTTAACTTGATTTACATATTTAGTTAGATAATAAGCTTAAATTATACTTACTTACTTAAATCATATGATTTCTTTTCTACCTTTCTTTTGTTAAACTTAAAGTATCAAAATTGCGTATATTTTTTACGATCAAAATGTCTTTACAATCAAGTTATAAAACAGACAGCTTGAATGAATTATCAAGAAACGCTTCATTGGGTTAAAATTTTCGCAAAGCCATTCGCTATTTTTAAGCTTTGTATTTATAATGAATCTGCGCGATATGCATTTGGTGTTACAGGGTGTGCAATTAAGATTATTTAAGGCATTTTTAAATTTATGAGATGATTTATTTTTCTCGGAAAGAATAAGAAGCAGATCATTAATTCAAGTGTAGCAAATTTTCCTATTTTCAACTCTTATTATTAAATCTGTTTTAAGTATCTAGATGGTAGTCGAAAATGTAACGCTGAGTGGTTAGTTCTATGGCAAAATAGTCGCAAACTTTATAGATTCCTATGTGCAGTTTATCGGAATAATAAAATGTGTTACTACGAAATTTCAAAATGGTTTAAGCATTTGCCATCTGATGACTGATCAATGTGGACCGTGAAATGAATCCGATCTTACACCTTGAATAAGTCCGTCATTGATCATCAACATAGGATATGAGATGAGTGTTTATTAGTTTACGTTACTACACTTCACATTACAGCGTAAGAGAAGAGGAAATTAACAAGTGGATAATAAATACTGTTTATGGTTATCAGTTCTGCTTATGTGAATGAATTAAAAGTGGGTTTGTTTTGTCTTGACTTCAAAATTTTTCTCAAAACGTCTAACACTTCAGTGAATTTCTCTTGTGTGGTCAAACAAATGTCAAAAATGAATTATATGTATTTGGTTGGTAGAGAAGAATAATTATTGACTAAAGCTATGTTTTGAACAACACTTTTAGATTAACAAGGATTCTAAACACTAATATACGATTGAACACACCACAAAGCATAGCTTATAATACTTTATTTAAAAGATTTAGTAACGCTAAAACCATACGAGTGAAGTGAATTCTAGAATTTAAAAAAAATATCAGTTACACTTCATGTGTCCAGAAATGAGAGATTTCTGTCACATTGATAATTCAATATATTTTACAAGTTAACAGGGCTTTCAACAAAATTAGCTGAGAATGATTCTTGATAATTGATCATCGTCACTGATTTTTAGAATCAAGCAAATAAGTGACTGGTTGCCTATCTTCTAAAAAAGCTGAGTTAAACATTCAGAATACGATTATAATTGAGGAGTGATTTTTGTGATCGAACATATTGAATACAATACTTTGAAATAATAAGTTTCATTAAAAGTGGTACGGCATTGGATTAATTCTCGATGTTCGTCACAACAAACAAGTTTTATGATGCACAAAAGCCTCTGTAAATAAACCTATAATGAAGATTATTATAATGCAAAAAGCACAGAATTGTATTTTACCAAAAATATAGGTAAACAAATCAAATAAATTTACCGCTCATCGAAAACAGGCTCCAGCTGAGGCAAAATGCCTAACTTTTTAAGTTCTTTGGAATCTGTTGGTTTTAAAGTGTTCAACACTAAAAGACGATGGTCTGATATTAACCGGGTAGGTGTAGGAGCATTTTCTGCCAACTTGATTAATTCGGAAAGACTTTTGACTTCGTTTACTATAAACGTAGGGTGATACAGGAAGTTACTTTCTACCAAAGACACTTTTAAAGGGCGAAACAAGTTCACCAAAACGCATTTCGGTAAAAACTTTTCATATACAAGGAAAACTTGCGCAGCCAGACGAATCATTCTGTAAACACAGGTTAAACGGAGTATGGGTATTTCTTTGAGCGATAAAGGGAAAGATCTATTTACAAGGCGAATGTCGAGACTCGGTAAGTCGGATCTAAAACAGAGAATGAAAATATGATTTAGCTATGAAAGGAAACCAACCTAAAGATTTGATAAGGTTCTGAAACTAAACAAGTTGATAAATGTACGAACATGATAACAACATAGAATACATGTGCAAAATCAATAATTACTTACAATTCAGAATCTTAATATTTCCTACATTTGACTTTTGCTTAGAATCAGCAAATTTTGGTTGAAATGACATATTAAAAACACCAGGAAAATTCTTGTTTTCACTAGAATAAAGAGACTATGCTCGGACTTATAGATTAAGGCTCATAAAACATTTATCAATTGACTTGTCAAAAAAGCACCGCACGGCTATACTGTAACAGATAACAAAGTCATGGTTGGCAATTTTAATGGTACATCTTATATGATATATGTGCTTAAATTACTCTAGAAATAACTAACATATAGTGTTTACTGATATTTTGGTAGTTGTTTGAGAGAAAAAAAGTGTTTATTTTTTCATTCTAAAAAAGCAGAAAATATTAAGGATACATGAAACTACATTTGAAGATGACAATTTCATGAATAAGTTTAAAACATCGGGATGTGAATGAGATGATATTTTTAATAATGCTATACTCAATGATTTGATCCTCTTGTTTATACATTAAAAAAGCCATCACGACAAAATAGCTCATAATCAAGTAACTATGTCGTTTTGACAAAATTTACTTCTGCACTTTATTTTACAAGGAAAAGTGAATGAATATGTAGGTTACACATTGATACTTATTACATGGATATTAAGTTACAAATGTTTCATTTGGAATCCTCAAAATTTACAAAATGCTTAAAACGGATTTGACATGAGTTAACTTATCCGAATGATGATTTAAATGGATAATAATAATAATAATAACAATTATAATATAGATGCTTACACTTTGATAGTAGTCAGCGGTTTTCTCAAAACTAAAACGTTTTTCGATAAATTAGAACCAGCGGAAGTAAGACAAAACATTCGGGATAGTGCATGTACAATTTCTGGACAAAAAATACCACATTCAATAACATTTGTAGATAGTTTTCCATCATTCTTCAAATGTTCAAATATCTCAGAGCAATATTCAAATGCTAACTGGATTAAGAAAAGATAACGAATAACGTCTTTTAAACGATGTAACCTAGCTTTCCAAAGCTGGTTAGAGATGAAGGTAATGGCAGAGGATTTTTCTTTCGGTAGTCTGAGTAAAATGCGAAGATAGGAAATCTAAAATAATATAATCAGAAGTATTTGGTAGAGGGAATCGATTAACTTTAGAGTATATATATATATATATATATATATATATATATATTCATCCAATACACTTACCAATGTTTCCGTCTCAACGTTTTCCTCATCTGTTTTGATGCTATAAGCAGTAATTTGTAAAAGAAAAAAGTGAATAAACATAAATGATTAGTGATTAAAATGCTGAAGTTAGCATCTGATTTTGTTTCAACTAGTTTTCAGTAAGTCAGTTATGTGCACAAACATAATATATAGTATTGGCGAATGGTATACGCTGTTAGGCATTTACCTTTATCTTTCACCATATATATAACTTTGACTGAATAACCTAAGTGTTATATTTCCCATCTGCATCTCTTTAACCAATGTAATTTAAACTGGTCTAAGTAATTTCCAGAAAGGAAATCAACCGAACACGTCATATATTACAAGATGACCGTCAAAACATGTATCCATAAGCAAAAACACAAGAAAATGAATAAGAATCAGGTAAGATATCTTTAGCATACATAACAATGGTTAATTTAATAGCCCCCTTTTCTCTAAACCTCCATGAGCACTGATCATTTGAAAAAATTGAATCATCTTGTTCGAATGATCATTTCACTGATGGTGTCAATTAAACTCGATAGGAGTCGATCTTAATACAGACTGAAAACAGACGTGATTACTAGATTTCAAACCAAGTCAAAATACTATTTAGTAGAGAGAGATCTTCAATTTATATTTATGTGATAATATTCATGAAATCTTTCAACTTAACAGTATATTTCAAGGATGAAATCAATTATAGATATCTTAGGTCATTGAAATAACTTTTTACAAAATACTTGTGCGATACATTAAATACATTGTCATTTAGAAGAACAGAGACCCGACGTTTTAGGTATCAAACCAATTTATGCCAGATCAATTCTTCTCGACAGTAGTTCTGTCTATATGGATGACGAATACTTCGAGTTTAAGTAAATAAAGTTCAAAACTACAAATCGTGTTTGGTGAAAAGAGTTTGAGGAGCCTGCAGATCACGTCTCAGTCGAATATAACAGGTGTTATATTCTACTCTACCAGGACAACAGAAATGAAGAATTTCGATTATTACAGCCGGTTACGTTTAACAGGGGGATAGTAAGAATTAGGTCGGCTGAATGGGTTAGTGTTAGGCAACAGAATATTCTACATTCAATAAGTACTAGTTTAAACGGTAAACTCTGCATGGAGTATTTCTTGGATTACTGCCGTTTACAAACAAGGATAAAGGAGGGATGGGCAAAGGGATAGGAGTCTTTCGGAGAATTTTTGAATGGACCAGTAGCACTGAATACACTCGAGATCGAAGTAGCACCTACAGACCTCCCAATCGCTATCGACCCACCAAAAATTGAAGAAGTTAGCATAGCTATCAGACAAATGAAGAGTGGTAAGGTAGTACGACCAAACAACATACCATCTGAAGTGCTGAAATCAGAAAGATAGGCAATTGAGAAGGTGCTCCACATTCTCGTCAGAATGATTTGAGAGGAAGAACAAGCACTAACAAACTGGAAAGAAGGATACCAAGGAAGGAAGATCTTAGCAAGTGTGAGAACAACAGAAGCTTCATTCTACCATCAATAACAGGAAAAGTAGTCAACAGTGTTGTTGAACCGGATGAACGATTCAGCAGACGCCCAACATACAGATCAGGAGGCTGGATTCCGTAAAGACCGATCAACACTATACGTAATTCTTACGACGGCTTACACTGTGAAGTTGCGCATGGAGAGATCATAGACTCATTCCAAGTGAAGACCGTGTCTGGCAAGGTTGCATACTCTCCTTTTTTCTTTTTTTTTCTGCCGGTTGACTAGATCGCGAAACATTCAACATCTCAGGGAAAACAAGGAATACAGTAGCCAGCCCACATAAAGCAACAAATTTAGGTGAAGAAGGCCAGTGTAGCAGCAATCTCTGCGGTAGCAGGTCTAAACATACGCAAAGGAAAAGGCAAGATTCTCCGAAACCACACAACACGCAGCAACCAGATCACACTTGATGGAGAAGCTTTGGAAGATATGGAAACATTTACATACCTAGACAGCATCACTGATAAACAACGTGGATCGGGTGCATATATGAAGACACGGATTGGCAGAGCAAGGATAGTCTTTCTATAATTGGAGAACATTTGCGACTCAAAACAGCTTTCAACCAACAGTAAAGTCAGAATCTTCAATACAAAAGTTAATTCTCATTGTTAAGAGCAATAACTAGAAGGACTACGAACGATACAGGTATTTACAAACAGTTGCTTACGCAAAATATTCGAGATCCGCTTATCCGACAGCATTAATCTACAGTTGTAGAGGTAGTTCAAGACGGAATTCGTTCGAGAATCCTGATCAGTGGCTTATATTCCACATGGATAACAGGCCTCAATAACTTTGAACGGTAGCAAAATTCCTCGTGGAAGTTTTAGGTTGGTCATCTGCTTCTTAAATGACTCTGTACACTGTTTTGCCCCTCGTGCTTTTAGCTAGTTTTCATTACATTACTTGGTTTTAATTAACCTATTTTTCGGTTATATTCTGATAGACCACAATATTCTGAAGTGTCTAGAAACCGTTAATTACTCAGAATTATGGTGGCACATAATGGAGTAAAATTATTGTGGAATGTGTGTGTAAAAAGGGAATACGGAGAGAGAACGCTGTCTAGACCAGGAAACAGCATCAATCACCGAAATGACTGACTGTTGTTCCGGAACGGTGTAGGAAGGTTGAATCTGAGAGAAATAACTGTAATGCTTGAAAGCCAAATCATTAGGATGAATGTAATAATCCAGTCGATATAATTCATGCTCAGTTATTAACAAGCTCCTATTTTATAAGTTTTATTTTGTCTGGCATTTTATTCTTCCTTAGTTTTGATAATTTTAGCTATCTGGGTGCAAACGATAGGACCTAGGTTTTGTACTAGTTACCACCTGCCATAAATGTAGATCCCGTGTAATGAGTGTTGGGTGTGGGAGTTAAGTTCTTTTGTGATTAATGATTTGTGGTACGAAGAACAAAACTTGGGCTCAATACTTGCTGCTGACTGCCTCTGACCTCTTAAAAACATTAAAGTGAATAGGGGCTACTGTCAACTAAAATGAGATATATGTAGTATTAAGATATCCAGGACTATGAATTGTAGTATTAACTAAGTTATTGTAAATGACTTTCATCGACGTCATTTGGTTTTTGGCCACTTGTAACAATATTTCACACTCTACACAACTGGCACTTAACTATGAATATCCACAAAAATAAAGCCAACGTTCGATAATTCCTACCATTAACGAATTGACTTCAAACGTGGCGTAGTGTATTGTTTGGTCATCTAGATTACCGATTACTTCAAGAAATGGCCGATAAAAATTGATCAACATTATGGGTTAGATATGACATTATTACAAACAAATAACAAATAACTACACTTTGACACTCCACTACAGCTTATGTTATAGTTAATAGTTTTTTGTTATTCGCTTAATTGACTTTTTCTTTTTGTGCCAATGTGAATATCATCCATTTATTTAAACATATGGACTTAAGAACTAAAGGGAAGCAAGATAAATATTCATCATTAAAACTACTGAGTTTGTGAGTAGGCTGAGATGCTGCCCGGATGCCCAAACAGTAGATTTCATTAGGGCAGCCACTTTCCGAGCCTTTGACTTAGAAGTCTAATCCATGAGGTAGTGAGGAACATCAGACGCATTCTCAAGATAGCCAGTAACCAACGATAAGCTTATACGGCATTTGTTCCATCAGGATACTCGAGCCCATGTGATCTGTTGGTTTGGAGTCAGGGTTTTCCAACTTCCCTAAGTAGATATTCCGTTTTCACTAAGTCAGTTTAAGCGCTGGACATTCATTTTTCATCTTCTCAACTTTGTATACAACACCTCTACCGCAAGGTAGTGAGTTGGACATACTTGGAAGAGGGAGACCTGACTCTGTCAAACCCAACCAAACAGGCTATCCTGTGTGAAAAGTGGAAAAATTTGGTCAGCAGACAGTTGTATGATTTCTTATGTTATTTATAACTGGTAGTATTGTTTCTGTAAGTCATTACAAAATGATTATTGAGAAAAATGTTACTACAACTTATTATCACAAAAAGAAACTTAAAACTCACGTAGACTTGCGAGCGTTCACCATATCCTGAAGCCTGAAGAGTTGTTCTTGTGGGTTTTGGGTATTTGAAAAGCCGATAGGCAATACTTTTTTATCGGTACTCAATGCTTCTAGTAAACGAGAGACATTCTTATTATTTTTTTGCTGATTTGCTGTTGTTGGACGCTGAAATTGATGTTTAGTAATTGTATAACTTACTTTCTTTATGCCATGGATTTTGCTCAAGAGAAAACGTATGCTTTTGGTCCACTCGTCATTAACAACCTTTAATCGCTCACGTTGTTCTTCATTTTCTTCAACACGTTTCAATCTCTCTAATTTCGAAGCTGCAATTTTATCTGCCAGAGCTTCTTTGAAATTTTGCGCCGGTTTATTACCGGTAAAACCATTAGTGAAGAAGATGTTTTCCACTATATGACCTACAAACTTAATTATCTATTGTCTGTTTCACCTTCGATTCCGCCTTCCACATCATTAGCCGTGCATAGTTTTCGAGCTGGTACACTTGAATCAAATGCTGCCTTGAATAAAGGATCTTTATCATCGACACTTTCCAAAGAAACGTTATCAAGTTGTCTCTATAATTTATATCAACGTGTCTAATGTAATTACCAATTTTTCGACGATATGCCTTTGCAAAGATTTTTCTGATTCAGTTAGAGTGACATTACGACTACCCAGACGTTTATCAAACAATCCACCCACTTTTCCATAACGTTCTAAATCTCTTTTAAGGGATTCGGAACGCTAACGAGTAAAAAACAATTGTAACTTACGGAAATATTATTCTTGCGAACTGGCTTCTTCACACATGTCCGGTGTTTTTTCACAGGATTTTTTCCCATTAATTTGAAGTCACTCGAATGTCGTAATATCTATACAGCTAATTATTTGGGATATGAAAGCGGAAGTAGAAATTATGTAGTAGTTTACCTGAAATTTGGGTCAATATTTCAATTTGACTAAACAAACTTCAAATTAAATTTTATATGGACGAGGGATCAACGGAATAAACGCAAATGATTAAAACTAGTGCTACGGTTTGATAAATATCAATGTCTTGTCGACACAAAGATCATCAGAAATATATAGATTATCAAAGATTTAAGCGAATCAAGACCTATGAAACTGATGGCTTTTAGCCTCAATAAATGATAAAGCTTCATTGCTGGTAACAAGTTCAGAACAACTGCTTTCATTTCAAGCTATATACATCATGGTTTGGAGGAACATACTTTGCCTACTTTATTTTAATTACCAAGAAATAAGTTCGATAGTTTTACTTCGTTATATATTAATCACATGCGGAATAAAAGTAGTTGGTCGAAAGAGCTTCATATCAACAGGTCTGAGCAAATATTCTTTATTGGCTCTTTTATTATCTTTCAAAGTTTCATCAAAAGCTATTAGTGATGAACTGCATAGATGGTAATCAAGTGTGATTTATTTGATAACGTTCGTTTTGACTTCATGTTGCATCAGTTGTTCATTCCTACTTTCCGTATTCCTTACTCTTCAATTCATTCAGCAGCTCACCTATGGTGTAAATCTTGTCCCGTTTCAAACGAATTCTGAACCAGCCTTTTAGAAACCAAGTACGCCATCGTAGTACCCTCTGGAGACTTGAATTCACAGATCGGGCGTTTGGTAACAGAGCAGAGTCGTCTGAGTGACCAGTAGGGACTTTTTTGTCTCAGGTCACGTGGATCGGTCGCTACTGCAACTAGTCATGGAAAGCAACCAGTTTCTAGATAGCACTCACAAGAGGTGCAGCTTTCTCCGATGTGTTACCTGTCGTCCTCACTGACTTACTTCTAACCTTTTTATAGGTGATAGCGATATTTTGACTATGAGACTTAGTTGTTTACAACCATTTAGCAATTAGAGGGTGGTTTAAATCGTGGAGAGATTCAAAAGTTGTCCCTGTTCATGTCATCCATGTAACAACTATTTAGCGATAGGTCTGCTACCGATCGTGTCCTGACTGACTTCCGTCATACTTCGTAAATTGTTCTAAACCTGAGAAAGATTGAATTGTGAGGAGTAGACTGACTTTTGTTTTAGAAGAGGATGTATTGATCATAACTTCAACCCCCGCCAAATTCCAGACTTACCACAGGTCTTCCTTCAGTTTGTTGAACAAAGTTGTTCTGATATTGTCTATTTAATAAGGGTGTACCTGAGAAGTTTATTAACAAACTGAAGGCTTTAGATACAAACAGCTCAGGCAGGACCCAGAACCTGCACTTACTCCTGGTAGTGAGCAGATAGAAATCAAAATGTCCATGTACCTCGGAAGCTTTGAAAGTTCTGATGGCCGGACATGATGAGATTGATTCACGTAGTGAAGGCAAAGAGCTCTCTTTGGCGCCTTCGTGATGCAAGTCTGGCTGTAAAAGACTGGGCATATATTGTATCAATGACAGCAGGTTTGCAATATGATTTTAAAACCTGGCCTCTTCGAGTTGAAGATGTTAGGAAGCATTTTGTGTACGATAAGCGTCATCTACGAAGGACATTCATTGAAAAGACGCAGAGGTTCAGGGAGATGTGTTCAGATCCGGTGACGATAATTTAATCGGTCTCACTATCATGCATAAGACCGACTTAACTGTCTCGGACATGTACTACGGATGTTGTCCTCAATCAATCAATAGCAACGTAGAACTTCGTACGTGAGTACATCAGTTAATGTTGCCATACTACGTTAGCACAGAGATGAAATTGTCGATTCAAATCCAATAGTAGTAGAGGTAGTAAAGGTATTAGAAGTAATCGGAGACGTTAGGATTAGAAGATATTATTCAGTCAATAAGTCAACTGCAACGTAGAACTTCGTACGTATGTAAATAAAGTTCATTAGTTGCCATAACCACATTAGCACAGAGACGCAATGTCCAAATCAAATCCCATAGTGATAGGAGGTAAGGGTATTAAGTGGGTAAATGAATAAGAACTAGGGTTTGAAAGTATTAATTCAAGAAGGTACAATATTAGTAGCGATCATAAGGTGATAAAGACAAACATAGAGGTGCTGACGAAATCCAGAAGATTAGGATTATGAGAGAGCACAACGAATAAATGCACTACTTCATCTGTTGATCTGTAGTTCCTACCTGGTACCCGTCTTCTAACGAAAGCATTGCTCACTCGGTAGTCCCAAGGTATACGATCAATGCTTCGAAGACACCTATGATCGAAAACCAGTAACCTACGAATATCTTCTACTCTCACTGGCCATGTTTCACAGACATATAGTAGGACGGAGCAAACTACTACGCAGTACACTCGTCCTTTAGTCAGCGAACGGATATCACGTCTACGCCATAAGTGACGCAGGTTGGCAAAAGCCAATCGAGCCTTCTGTATCCGAGCTGAGATTTCGTCAGTCACCAGGCCATCGGCACTGATCAGACTCCCAAAATAAGTGAAGCGGTCTACACGTTCGACTACTTCACTCCCTATCACTAGTTCAGGTGCCGATGAAACCCAATCTTGAAGCAACATTTTGCATTTAGAAGAGAAGGATCGCAACCCGAACATGCTTGCATTGTTGCTTATGGTAGTCAGAAGACTGCATTTAGTCAGTGTCTTCACCCAGTAGACCTGTGTAATCGGCATATCCTAAGTCAATAAGCGAGTCTCCTGGTAAAAGGTCCACTCCTGAAAATTCAGACGAGGATAAGGTTATTTCTAGGAGCATGTCTATGATAAAATTAAACAAGAATGGAGAGAGTAGACATCCCTGACGGACATCACTTGAAGTAAAGAATTCCGATGACAGTTAGTACAGGTAACATATCTAACTGAACGGTTTTTTCTGATTGTGTTTCCCTTAACTGAACTGCCGCTCCCACTACTATTAATATTATTTCACTAATATACATATTTCTATTCATTTTTTCTTCTTGTTTTACAATTGTTTCTCTCTCTTTACAATCTCATATTTATTAAGTGGCATATATATATATATATATATATATATATATATATATATATATATGCATATATATATTAGTGCCTACTTGTATCAATATTTATGTTTTAAATAAATTATTAAATAAGATTGTTTATCTACTACAAGAGACATTTCCCGTGATGCCGAAAAAAGTTTGCTGAGTGTAGAAATACTAGGATAACATCTGATAGACCTGACGCTATAGTCATAGTTTCAGTATAACCAAGATTTATTACAGATGTAAATGAAAGTGAACTAGATAAGTTCAGACCTTACGCCGACATTTCCGACTTCTTAAGCCTTTTGTCGTCTACTGCCTCAAGTATTTTTGTGGATATCTGGAAATGATGTAGTTCGTAAACTCCTGAATATTGAGGAGGCTTGTTAATAGATGGTGATTCTTTCACTTCATGCACACCAGCTTTTCGTGGTAATGCATTAGAGCTTTTAAACTTTAACCTATTTACTGTCTTTGTTTACGAGCATCAAACTAAGAAGTTTGCTGTCATCAAGGCTATATTACAGAAGCGGGTCAAGTTGAGTGATAACCACCCCATATTTTGCAATAATATCAATGACGATAAAATAACCTTATTATGACTGAAATTGCTGGAGGACTGTTTATTGATGTGATGAGTGTATTGCTTATTATGCAAATTTTTTATAAATTTTTGCAACGCGAGTCCTCTTTGTTACCCTCGGTTGCTGTGTTGGTACCGTACATAAACCGAGAAGTCTTTTACTTCCTTAGGGATTAAACGACTAAGTTGGAACCTATCAGTTGCATCGAAGACAAGTCAGTGTCACGGAAACGTATATTTTTGTTTTCCTTGAAAATTAATGACTGAAATAAAAACTTCACTATTTCGATCATCATTCTTACTGATACTTATTTTCTTGGAAAATTAAGGGTGAAATTCTAGTCTATTAAGGAAACAAGCGAAATATGTAACAAATATGGGAGAAATTTCAATATGTTTATCTATAAAAGATAAGAACCAGCTGGGGCATACTGAAGAAAAAATTGGACTGTTCGGCAATCACAAAAGTTTAAATTCATATGCTTCTCGCTTCGCGAAGGACATTTACGAGTTATGTCGTGTTACTTCTCAAGCTTAAGCAAGAAATGGGAGACCATTTGTTTCCAAATCGCCTGAAATACCGCCAAATTTTCCCAGTCAATGTGAACTGTATTTCACAATAGTTTGCCTTTTTTCCTTTTATTGTTTAATTGGAGAGCATTAACTAACTGAGCTTGTAAATAATCTCATAGCAAAACATCATGTTCATAATTGTTAAAGAAAAATGTCTCTTTAGGGAACAAAAATTTAGGGGGCGAGAACAGACATACTTTTCTTTACATACCATTAGGCCATTAAATGAGAACTGACCTGTACTACACGACCACCTTGAAAAAGGTCAGATATTCATTTGCCGCAGTCATAGATTCAATATGCAATATCTGTGCACAAGCTGGTCAATTTTTTCACTTGTTTCTTGTTTTTTCGGTACGGTTAAAGATATCTGGTGATGTGAGATGGATAGAAGTTGAGACGCTCCACAGCCTTGATTCTTGTCAGTTGGGCTATCGTATTATCGAGCTGTCGACCTGTTAGTTTCAGTGTGGAGAATAATGAGTGAAAATGCTAAGGTTAAGTAGGAAATGTATGTTTTAAGAGAAAAAAATACATAAATAGACGAATCAGGCAGTTTTATTATGAATTTTAAAAATAAGAATTGCAGCAAAAATGATGTTAAGTGTAACCGTGTAAGTTGTTGAAATAACAAGAAATCGGTTTCAATATTTGATTTCGAGATATCTGGTCCAGGCAGGAGATGAAAATACGCATATAAGGCAAGTTTTTCTCAAGTCTGTTCCTGAAGTTAATCACTGAGTGGGCTGTGGTCGCTTCATCTGAGAAGACTTTACACTTAGGGATATCTCTTATCTGAAAAGAGTGGGTGTGTACCTGGGTGTCCGCTATTCAGCATGCAATTTTTTGGAGGTGATGGAGTTTCAGGATGCTCATGTCGGGCACTTAATATAGTATGTGCCATTATCAAATCATCTATTTTCCAGAAACTTATCTAGGACAGTCGCAAATGTTGAATTTCGTAATCGTAAGGTTTCTTTTTTCAGCTCTGCCACTCATTTAGTTGCTCGCCTCTGTAGTCGGTCAAAAAGGTTTACGTTTCTTGTAAGGAGGAGGTCCGCAACCACATTAGGAGCTTGAAGGTGGGTCATCGTGCACGCTCTAAAGAAAGTTAGGAAATATTTTTGGTTGTTTACATCGGGGTGTCTTCACTTAAAGTAAACCGTTGTGTTTACCAACTTTCGTTCCTAATGTTACTTGAAGTTGTGTCCAGACCTTGTGTGGTTGCCAGACCGAGGTCGCGCTGTGAGGAGACTTTAGGGAGGAGGTAAGTTGTTCGTGTCATACGGTAAAGAATGTTCATGACGTGAAATCTCAACTGGTTAATCTTTACCCCGATCTCCACTGCCCATCATTCTAAGCTGAGATGAATCCTCTTCTCCTTTTTTTGGAGCTCCAGATATTTGCTTCACCTGCACAGATTAGTGTCACTGAGTCGGTTTACCTTAACAGTACATTTTTAAATAGCAGGGAGAGGGGAATCAAAGATGGTCCTTTGGGAAAATGCTGATATTGAAACTCATCAACACATTTGCACTTTATGAAACCCTTTACAAAACTTTATTTTCTCGGGGTATTTGCTGAGTTAAGATGGAGGTAGATCAGTTTTGTGCATCTTTTAAACCTTCCCTAAATTTTGTAAAACAGTTACTGCATGGAAGGCTTTCGCAAAGTCAAGAGATGTAAGACGAACAGGTATTTTTTCAGTCCCAGCAAGTTATATGGCTATTCCATGGTA